CTTTCGGGATCTGAGTTTCGCATGCAAGTATGGTCACACAAGTAGATGATGTAACTATTAGCAAAGAAAGGGAAATCATGTGTCGTTTCCTGGAACACAGTTGATATTTGACATGAGCGTGTATGAAAGGGGCGACAGTAGCTCAGTTGGTAGAGCATTGGCCTTTGGGCCTGAAGGTCGTGGGTTCGAGCCCACCGTAAGACCTACTTCACGACTCCCACTGATGACTGCTGTCGTTGTGTCCTTGGGCAAGACACTTAACCCCACTTTGCCCAAAGCCCCAACTGAAAGATCTCAGCTCCTGTGGACTCACCACCTGCAGGAGGATCAGTGAGGGGCTGGTGCTATGTGTACTGGGTGCAGCTCTGACTGCCACCCCCCCGACCCAGAAATGGATTAAGGGGAAGAAAATGGATGGATGGATGGATGGTGTATGACAGCGTGGGGTATTGCAGTATTGTTTTACCCTGACTATAGTGCATTTGCTCATACGCTGTGTCAAGACATCCCCATGGTCTTATATACCCCTCTGGCCTCAGCAGTAGTAGTATTGCGTACATGTGATAACAAGACACCATCCTGTTTGTTTACATTGTGTATTGATTGGAAATAGTGCTTCAGTGGGTTGTTCCTCTGTGTAGTTAGATCTGACAGGACAAGCAGAGAGGGCCCAAGATCTGTGAACACAAGAGATTTTCCTGCTTCTCTAGATCCCTGGCGATGGCAAAGTTCACCAGGCCCGGGAATCCAACCGGCAATCGCTATATGCCATCTATGTTATCCAGTCAAGAAGCTCAGACAGCAAGGGCCATCCCTGCAACGCTGTCAAACCAGGTTACGTAAGTCAGTCAGGCAGCCATCCGCCAGTTAAAAGCTGAAAAAAAACCAAAGATACATCAATATTGTGAGTGTCAAAAGCTGTTGAATAATGAATGGGTTTTTTTTGGTTTTGTAGACTTTGCCAACTGTGAATGCACAAGGCCACTCTTATAACAGTGGGATTGCTTTTAGTGTACGCAAGGCTTGTGTGCTACAGAGGAGAAAAAAATGAAAAAGAGTAAAAAGGTGAGACATTTAAATCAGGGTTTATACCTGTTCGCATAATGGGCCGTGTCACTGTAATCACATTATAAGCAGACATACAGACTAATGCGATATTGCAAGGCTGACTTTTTCTACCTCCTTCTCGCACTATCATTCAGGCTAAACAGCAATTATCCAGCACATCTAAAAGGTTAGCATTGATTTAATTCAGCGCTGTTGTTCTGTCGTGTCGCCAGCTCACGCTTTGAATTTGTTTTGTAGAAAAGCGAAGTGTGAAGGAGCAGCACTCACGAGGCCAGAAGAGAAAGACGTGTACACAGTCGTCGTAAAGGTCAGTGGGATCTTAACATGTGGAAGTATTTGTACTGTTTGATATTTAGATATTTTTGAATCTGTTAATTTCTGCAGGAAAAAAAACGGTCAGACGAGATCAAAGATTTTCCAAAAACCGTAAGTTATAAAATAAAACATAAATTATGTATAGTAATGACAAAATACTGTATTACTGTCAGAACTTATTACATCTTATTTACTTTTATCATATGACTGTTATGTAATGAAGAAATCCATGCATAGTGCAACAAGTCTGTGTATTTCAATGGTTTTAAGTTAGGGTATACTGTGCCCGGAGGGAAATTTGTCCTGAGCTGGAGGATGTTTCCTGTGTACATGATTCAGAGACACCGTATGCAGACATGGGGAGAACATGCAAACTCCACTCAGAAAATTCCTGCTCCGACTGGGAATAGAACCCAGGACATACTAGTTCAGAAGTGAGAGTGCCAGCGGGAGTGCTAACCACTCAGCCACAGTGTTGATCCAAACAATTAGCACCTCAGATTCAAGTTGCATTTTCAAAATGTCATGAAATTATATGGAATAATGTTTTCTCTTAATCTTTCCACTTTATTGTCTAGTTATTTCCGTTGTGTACTCAAAGGGTTACCACTTCACCAAATGGAAAATCCCACCACAGCTTCTCTCTTGTTAATAATTATTTGTGGGGCCCATGCTTCTGACTTCATAATTTATGTGTGAAATAAATATTTTACGAACCTTGTTGTGAAAATAAATGTTATTTACGATGTATTGTAATGTGGAGCATCCTGAGGCAGTTATCACAAAGATCCACGGTTCTGATCCCACATCCGTCAGATGTTATCATGAGACAATTACTACGGGACAAGTGAATTATTGATGGGACAAGTGCATGGGCCAAGGGCAGACAAGGTGAGGCTTTAGTAAAACTCATCACGGAGACCACAAACTCTGAGAGGAATTCTGCTGAACCAAGAAAAAACAAGATAATGACATAATTAATTTCATGTATTCTTATGAAATCTCTCATTTGCATGAATATACTGTACTTCATATATGTGCTGCTGAGATGTGAGGGCAGATAGTTGGGAAACAATGGCAACATCATCTTTTATCTTTTAGATGAGATTTATTCAGAAGCCAACATAAATCAAACCAAACAGATATTATCATACTTTTATTGCAACTGCGTTTGGCACTTTTTAGTTGATGTATTAACAATGTACAGTATGTTGGGCCTCTGTTTAGTTTTAGTTTAGAAAGTCAAATACAGTAGTGTGTTTGCATTACAGCAGGTTGTTTGCAGATTTGACTAAAAGCCAGTTAATGACTCATGAAAAAAAGTTGAAGATAAGACCCTGGTGGTTCAAAAGCATCTGGTTTCTGCTGAGTATATTTGTGTCTATGTCATGTTCTCTGACGCCTTTGTTCCATGTTTTAGTAATAGATTATAAAGAACACCTATAGAAACCGATAATACTTGTATCTAATCAAGATGAGATACAGTGGTGTGAAAAAGCATTCATAACAAATTTGCTACTTACATCTCACCCATGATCCTTTGTGCCTTCGTGGGTAGCAGCGGCATATGGCTGTGTGATAGATTCATTGCAGCAGTGGATCATCAGACTGAGCAGCGATGAAGATAAATGTGTGTTATCTGTCTTCCTTGAGAATTCTTAAAGTTACAATTACAGCTTTTCTGGGTTTTACTAAATATAACATAGAAACCAAATGGACTGTTTTTGACATACCCAGCCTATTCTCACAATCGAGGTTCAGCAATATGGCAATTTTGTTATTTGGTCGTTGGTATGTGAATTACCAAATGAGCTCATTTGGTCCATTATCAGCAATACACCAATAACCAAACATGGGTGTTGGAAAAAACAAAACACTGCACTAGCTGTTGTGGCAGATTAACTCACAATATTTAATTGAAAGAAATATGTTCTCTTTTTAATGCAACATGGAGGTTTCTGGAATGACACAGCTTATAATTAATTCTTGTCACATATAGAATGTCTTGTGTGGCAATCTCTATTCCCACATTGTTTTATAGTCTATTAGATGTGTGTCTCTTTCATGAGGCCATGTATCATGTAATAAAAGTATATCAGGACTCAATGACTGTGCGACATGAGGTGTAGTAAGAGATATCTGATTGTATCGCAGAGACTGTAGGCCTTGATGTATGTCTCATGCGTCTGAACAGACTTAACGGCGTCCTGAGCTGCTTTGATCCTCCTCAACAAAGAATGCCACATTTTACTGTGACGACTACTCTCAAACAAAACCTTGTAAAAAAAAAAGACCAAAACCACTCACTTAGAGCTCATAAAAGCAGTGTAAACAGACCTGCACCTCTCCAGCACAGAGCGCCCTCAAAAATTTTCATTCAACTGTCAATCTGCGCCGGAAACTGCAAATGGAAAAATACTAATGAATGAGTAGGAAGAGAGATGATTTTCTGGATGTTACGGATTGAACCACAAATTGTACAAATGTTACTCACATTAATTGAAGGTGAAAAAAAGATTGTGTAGATTGTGCTGAAATAGCTGTGAATACATTGTGCTGCAGACTACAAGTAAAACATGGAAAACAGAATATATTCAAACAGCAGCTGTAGAAATGTATCAGACTCATGAGACCGACTCAACTTGCGGCCCGGGTGCCAAATCAGGCCCTCCAAAACAAACTACACCGGCTCTAATAAAATCTTAAATCACGTATCAACGTTTTTTTAATGTTATCTTGGTTCACTTCACACTTGACAAAAATTACAGTAGCAACTTTTTAAGATTTTCAATAGGGATTTTGCGTGTCTCTAAAAAAATCTGATATTTTTGCTTGTCTTGATCTCAGTACATTTTGTGGGTGTTAGTGATGTCGTGGGCAGCACGGTGGCAGAGTGGATTGCACGCTTGCTTCTCAACAAGAAGGTCCTGGGTTCGTATCCCGGTCAGAACAGGGCCTTTCTGAGTGGAGTTTACATGTTCTCCCCGTGTCTGTGTAGGTTTCCTAGAGGTGATCTGGTTTCCCCTACCACTAAAAACATGCACAATAGGTCTGGCATGCGCCTCCTGTGCTGGCAACCCCACTCTCTGTGTGGAGTGGGAGACAAATGCCCAGAAAAAATACGCTTTGTGACTCTGGTCTGTGAAAGGTGGTATATAAATAAAGATTTCTTATTTAGGTATTTGTATAGCACATTTATTCACATTTATTCACATTTATTCACTGTGTTTCACTCAACTCTCTCTGGTCACTGTCTTTGAGTTAAATTAGGTTGATACAAAAAAACAAAAACAATTAAACAATTGTCATGGCCCTATCTCAGCAATAGTTCCATTAATGAATGTAGTGTCTTTTCACCAAAACCAAACAAAAGGAGATAGTACTTGTTACAAACCTTTACACAAATTATGCATTTTAAAACTTTGGTTAAAACTATTGGCTCTAAATGTATAATATACCTCATGTAGCTCTCACATCTATAGTGGATCAAAACAATGGCTGGTGTTTGTGCAGGTCATTGCAGCGGCTCCTGTTCCGTGGGCGTGGGACAATAAAAGCTGAGGACACAGCAGCTTTCAGCCTTAAGTGAAAATACTCCAGCAACATCCAGCAGGAAGATGCTACTGTTGGCTTTTCTATTGGCGCTATCAGGTATGTGTTCAAGTTCTGTAGTCTAAGCTGTCATAGACCTCACCATTTAGGGATGATAGTTGAAATAGTTATATCCAAGATTACATTTTCAAACCATCAAGTTTTCTCTAGCTTGGGAAAAAAAGATTCATGTTTTCTGCCTTGAGGGAATTAAATCTTACGGAGAAATAGTATGGACAACAAAAAGTCCATACCACTTACAGTTTGTTGACGATGTTCAAGATTATGGGATTTATCCTTTCCCCTTAGGGTTGCCAGTTTGATAGGTGATCTTTATTTTACTATATGCAAGCGTTTGAAAAATAATAAAAATCCCCACACATTTGTTTGACTTAAAACTGAAATACAAAAACAAGTAGTCAAAAGTAACAAACAAATGTAATACACAGTGTCTAGCTAAACTCCAGCAGGTGGTTTGCATCAGTGATCAGGAGCTTCATGTGTCACAGGCAGAAGGATTTCATACAGCTCCTTTAACCTTCTGAATACTCTCTGTTCACATTTGAATGATCACAAAAATGGGTTTCTGTGTTCTTTCATTGCAAGTTTTTATTATGTGGAAATTGTAAAGTTTTCATTTCCTTTGTGTGTCTGATTGTATTTATTATGAGGCACTTTGGGCTGTCTAAAAGTACCATACATTTTATATTTTGGGATTGAAAAGGCAACTTTAGTGTAATTAAAGAAGATTTATTCTCCACTCAACTGAAAAATGCATTTTGTTCTCGTTCCATTCGCCTCTTTTCCTTGTTCCATTTGTTCCTTTTTTAGATTTAAATGTTGTCAAATCATAATCAAATGGATAAAATGGAACCAACTGTGGTATATTGAGGGTTGGAGCACTTTGAGCAAAATATTATTCTAATTCAATTAAAGACCAGTAACACAACGCCTGGATAAATAGAGTTATATAAAGGAGACGTTTGTACCCTTGACTGATTTTCATCATACTTCTTTTTTTAAGTCCTTTATGCTCTACACTTATGTGTTTCTTTAAACATGAAATCACACTAAGTTAATGGTCCTGCTCCTTCAAACATAGAAATGACGGAGCAGGAGGGGCAGCCCAGACCATATACATTTCCACTAGGTTTCTTCTGACACATACCCCCAGTAGACTGCAGCCCCTGGTCAGTAGTTTGAGGGCAGGGTGAAGACCTGCCACCACCGTCTTTCAATCACCATGAGGCTGCACCATGCCGTCAAGCAGACCTGAGTGATATGAATACACAAACCTGTTTGAGATGTAAATATAATATGCCTGATGTAGATCATTCCCAGTTCCCAAACTTTCTCCCCGCTTGTATGTAGGACTCTGCCGTGGGGAGGGGATCTTACCCGCCGGCCACTTGAGTGGTGGAGTGGGAGGCAAAGTGACGTTCAGAACCAGCCTCAGCCCTCCACAGAAGCCCTTCCTCACGGTGAGCTGGAGCTTCAAAGGGATCAAAATCATCACCTCCACCAGCACCAACGTGACCGCGCCCGAGTACGCCAGACGCATCTCCCTGGACCGCAGCACCGGGGCCCTGGAGCTCCGCAGCCTGGTGCCAGATGACAGCGGGGAGTACTCGGTGACCATCACACCGGACGGAGAGCAGCAGAACGAGGGCAGGATAACACTCACGGTTTATGGTAGGTCACAGAAAACAGATGGTGCATGCTGGACTTATAAATCAAGATAAAACATGTGACATTGTTATAATCTCAATATAAGATGAAATATGCGGTGGTGTAAACATATCAAGTTCACCAGGATGGACTGCTCGTGTTTACCTCAGCCTAAAAGGAAGAAAGTAATACACCTAAAAGTACCTATTGCAGTATTTTCTTCTGGTGGTAAATATCCCTGGATGTTAAAATATGTATGTGCAACTGTTTAAAATGTTTAAACAAATCTCCATGCACTTCCTCTGATATGTCGACTTGTAAAACATAATATGAATGGCCAATCACTGGCTAACTAATAAAATACACAAGCGGTCTCAGTTGTGGTCTGTGTCATCTATTTGTAAGCTGTAGATTCCACATTCACACCTCTTGCCCACTGATTTCACCAGCACTACCGCCTGATGCCACCATGGCAGGGTCATGGCCCAGGCCTACCAAGAGTAACAAGAAACAAGACGTATTTACTGTATATATATAACAATTGAAAAATTAAACTATAGTATGCTTCTAAAAACATTAAAACTACATTATAAATGTGGTTGTTGGGAAGAAAACAACCTCACCGTGGGTTGTAGTTTCTGAGTTAGACGTTGTGTGTTTGAACTCTCAATGTTTGTATTTTTCAAAACTCCTATCGGGATCAGGATTTTAACTTCCAAAGCCCAAGAAAATGTCCCACTTTACAGCTCCATTAGCAACTATGTATGGCTTATCTTCTCCCATGAATCTATGCAATCTTGAGTGTACTTAACCCCCCCTCCCAAACACACTCACACACACACAAACTGGATACTTGAATGCATGACCCACGTTTATTGCCTTTTGCCGGAACCAAAGTGTGGATATTCAAACACAGCCCTAGTGTTTAACGGCGCTCTCCTGTTTACCACAGAACTGGTCACAAAGGCAGTGATCCACAGCCCTACTCTGGTCCTGATAGAAGATCAAACATTCACCAACATGAGCTGTGAGGCCTCGGGCTCCATCGACACCAGAGTGTGGACCAAAGACGACCGGCCCCTCAGAGCGGACGGCCGAGTGAGCTTCTCTATCAACAACAAAACCGTGTACATCCAGCCGGTCCACAGCTCCAGTCACGGCAACTACAAATGTCAAATCAACAACCCAGTCAGCTCTGCCACGGCGGCGTACAACCTCACGGTCAACTGTGAGTACCTGTTTATGCTCAGGTTGTTTTGGGAGGTAATATTAGCGTCATTTATTCCCTTTATGGGTGGTATAAGTTGTTGTATATCGCTGCTGTTTAGGTCGAAGAGGCAGGATAACTCTGCACAACGTTCCTTTAATCAAAGTTCTGACATTTAGAGACAGCTACTTTCCTCGCGCTGTTGTTTATGGGCAATTCTGTGAAATGTGTGAAGTTCTGCCAAAATCGTGAAAAGGACACTTGACTGGATTTGACACATTTAGCACACTTCCAGTCATGGGAGAGAACAGAGATTGTGCTCAAGTTACTCAAGTAAAAGTACTGTATACCATTTACTTAACTTTGCCTGTGCCAGAATAGTACCACAACAACAACAAAAAGCCATTTGATTGATCAAAACGTGATATAAAATTTGATTAAATTAAGAAATCCTACATACGTCCATATGCATCACCGTTTACAGAGCAGTATGAACCAGGAGCATAACACAAGATAAATGGCTCTATACTAAAATCAAATCTAAATACTTGTGAACTTATTTGTAATTTTAAAATGATACATGATGTGCGTTATCATCATGTGTTGTTGTGGCGCAGCCTGCAGGTGAATGCCAGATTCTGGTTGACCTCTGAAGCTAAGCAGGACCGGGTCTGGTTAGTAAAGTGATGGGAGACCTCTGGGAACACCAGGTGCCGGCCAGAGGGGTGCACCTGGTGTTCTGTTGTTGCGTCCTTATGCAAGACTCTTCACACAAATTTCCTAAAGAATGGTTGATGGAGTTTGGAGAGGCCAATGGCATTTACTGGTTGCCTTGCTTCAGTCAGTGTGCCCCAAGGCAGTTGTGGCCTCACTTGTCCGTTTACATAAGTCACTGAAAAATCCAACATGTACAGTGCCATGACAAACTGACTAAAGCGCTTAGAATTTCTGTATACAATCACTATCAATTGTGAGCTCTTTCAGAATCACACAGCGTCTGCATGAACTAAAACCCCCCACACATTTATAGGTTGTCACATTTTTAATGAGGATAACATGCAAACAATGACACAAGGGCTTCCAAGCACTTCAGATACTTTTTCATACCACTGTAGAGATTGATATCCTCCAATGAACATGATAAATAATGAATATCACACAAAGCCAAAGCTGAAATTAGTCCCTCCTCCAGATGGACCCCATAACGTGTCTATCATCGGGCCATCGTCAGCCGCCCCGGGTCAGAGGGTGGATCTGCGGTGCACTGCGGACTCCATCCCCCCCGCCCTCTTCACCTGGACCTTTAACGGGAACGTCACACTGGTAAACAGCACCGAGTACGTCATAGAGCGCCTGAGTCTGGACAGTACAGGGAACTACACGTGCTCTGCCTTCAACCCGGTCACCATGTGGAAGAACTCCACCGTCCTGAGTCTGAGAGGTGAGTGCAAAAGATTCCTTGTTTGATGCAGAATGAATGAAAAGAGTGAATGGTAAAGTGTTGTGTGGTTGATAAACAATGGATGGACGCACTTTCATGTTGTATATTGAGTGCGGAGTCTCATACTGTAGAAATGCATGTGCTTTTTTGTGAGTATAGAAATAGTGACATTCTGATAATAAAATCAAAGATATAGTCGCTATTTCAGCATATTCTTTGTCTTGTAAAAGTTAAACACTGGAAACAAATCAGATCATTGATTCCTTCATTCATTCATTTTCATCCCCATAGTCCATTTATGGGTTGAGGATTGGGGGTGGAAATCAGCTGCTACCCAGTTCTCATTGCACCAGCCCCTCAATAATCCTCCTGCAGGTGGTGGGTCTGTAGGAGGATGGCGATGTCACAGCCTTGGTCTTGTGTCTTACCCAGGGACACAACGACAGCAGACATCAGTGGGAGTAGATGGAGTAGGTCTGTGACATTGGCTTTCATCATGAGGCCTGAAAGCCACGCTCTACCAGCTGAGCCACTGTCGCCTAAGATACTGCTTCATCTTAATAGGAAACTTTAGAAAATCTTTTCCATGCTTGTATAAGAAAGACCCTTGAGAGTCACTGTTTGAAGCTTTGTGAGAGCTGATGGGCTGAGTGAAGGTGGTCCTCTCTTTTTCACTTTTCTGAAATGGGAATCTATCAAAGAAAAGTGATAAACCCCAGTTTTAATATGGCATTCGACCAGTGGGGGCGGGTCCCGGCTCAATAGAGGTCCATGAGGTCCATTGCCATCTTACTCTTATCCGGTGGGGGTGTACCTGGAAAGAGAATTACCCAATACTTTTGCATGCCGTCTTCTTTCCCCTCAAAAACGGCTTTACAGGATGGTCCTGTAAAGTGTAGTCGCTCTTAATCAGCAGTAAAACATATAGTAGTAAAAAAAAAAAGTCAACTGCAAAAAAAGGAACCAAATACAGCTTATCTTCTTTATTCATTCTGTATCTATCTACATAGATACATTTATAAATCAGCGATATTTACTATATCAAAGGAAGAACAGCATGTCATTATATCTACACAATGACAAAAACCTAGTTTCCAAAACTAAAAATCAAAAACCAGCAATATTTGACTAAAGTTCTCTTTTGACCAACATTATGTAAATTGCTTGAGTACTATTCACCTCATGGACATTTTTGGAATAGACTACTGTTCACATTTATTTGACTTGTCCTCAAACGCTTTTTCAGCTTTTTGCACATCAAGTCAAAACAATTATTCACAGGACAATTTGTCCTCAAGTACAGGAAATTGTTTCTATTTCACTCACTGAGCTGTGAGAAAAATGAGCAAAAGGATGATGGTAAAGGCAGTGAGCTTCGGCGATAGAAAGGGAGCCGGTATCATGCAGTAGTGTGATTGGCAGGAGCAGCTGTACTCTTAAAACCCACATATCCATCCATCCATTTTCTTCCGCTTTATCCGTTGGCGGGTCGCGGGGGCAGCAGTCTAAGCAGAGACGCCCAGACTTCCCTCTCCACACACACTTCCTCCAGCTCGTCCGGGGGGACCCCAAGGCGTTCCCAGGCCAGCTGAGAGACATAGTCCCTCCAGCGTGTCCTGGGTCTTCCGCGGGGCCTCCTCCCGGTGGGACGTGCCCGGAACACCTCCCCAGGGAGGCGTCCAGGAGGCATCCGGAACAGATGCCCGAGCCACCTCAACTGGTTCCTCTTGACGTGGAGAAGCAGCGGTTCTACTCCGAGCTCCTCCCGTGTGACTGAGCTCCTCACCCTATCTCTAAGGGAGCGCCCAGCCACTCTGCGGAGGAAGCTCATTTCGACCGCTTGTATCCGCGATCTCGTTCTTTCGGTCATTACCCAAAGCTCATGACCATAGGTGAGGGAGGGAACGAAGATTGACCGGTAAATCGAGAGCTTTGCCTTTCGGCTCAGCTCCCTCTTTACCACAACGGTCTGATACAGCGACCGCATCACTGCGCACGCTGCACCGATCCGCCTGTCAATCTCACGCTCCATTCTTCCCTCACTCGTGAACAAGACCCCGAGATACTTGAACTCCTCCACTTGAGGAAGGACCTCTCCACCCACATATACCCACAATTTGGAATCATCAACATCTCGCCTCAAATTGCATAAAAAATGACATCCGTGTCTTAATTCATTCGTGATTAAACTAAAAAAAAAAAGAAAATTACCCCGCCCATTTTGAAAAAGCCCACAGAAAACAAAAGCGGTGGCACATTAGTTTCAACGGCGGAGATAGGTTTGACCACATCCATTAATATTTACAGTCAATGCATTCAACAAGTATGATGTCTGAATGATGTACTACCCTGTTGCATGAGCTCCAAACAAAAAAAGTATTAGTTAAAAGTAAAAAAGGTGAGTGCTGCAGAGGGTACGTGTGAAAGAAAGCCAATAAAAACAGGTGCTCTTCGAAGACGGGGCAATCTAAGCATGTAGAAAGTCAGAAGAGAACAAAGGTAGTCTGAGGCACTCTGTTAGTGAAAAAATTAAAAGTCCTTTAATGAAGTGGACTGCCTACGCGTTTCGACCAACAGCGGTCTTCGTCAGGGCAAAAAAAGTATTATTCTTAAAATTTTTTTTTTTTATTAGATTGGTTTACCACATGCATCATATGAAAATATTTTATTTCAGACTCAATTAGCTCCCACTTGAGTACTTGAATATGGCTGAACTGGTGTCTGTATGTAGGTCACCATGGAAACTCTAGTGTTGTGTGTATTTTTACCTCATTGATCCTTCATCCATCACTGCAGTCCTCACCATGACAGCGTTGTGTGTTTCCCAGCCTGCTGCAGCGCCCCCTGCTGGTCACTTCCGCTGGTTCTGCTCGGTGCGTTGACCCTCAGGTTAGTAGCTGCGGCAGGAGAGGCATGAAGAGGTGAAGTTAATATTACATTTATGATAATGCCTTGTTCACTCGAAACTATTTTAATATCATTTGCATTTTATTTCCATTATAGGTGTGTATGAGTGACGACTGAGAAGATAATGCTGTCCATTATGAACGTTCAAATATAATTATTGTATGTGTTCTATAATGTATGTAATTGTGTGTGAGTGCAAACATATTTAAAAACCTTTTTGCTCTAACTGTACTTCACTGTGAAGCTTGAGGAGTTAATTGAATTCAAATGATTAGAGGAAATGGATTAAAACAACAAATTAAGTTAATTAACTCAAACCAATCAAGTCACTTAAGTTTTATTTCCCACCATCTAGCCGAGGCAGTGGGCTCAGACGGCTCTATCCTATGTTAAAATTCTCAAATTAAATCAAAGGCCTAATTGATTAATTATAGCCCACACATGCAGTAAATGTCAAATACATCGGTTTTCATACTAGAATGTTGTGTTCATTTAAATTAATTGAAAGGTTTTACATGTTCTGGTGACATTTGACGTCTTATATAGTGACAATTTAAATGCTGCATGAAAACAGCATTTGGAAGATGACTTTGATTGTAACTAACTGTGAATGATTAATCAAAATTCAGCCTTTCTCGATGTGCTTACTTTTCTGGTGGTAAGTGAGTTGGTGGAAATCAGTGGATTGTCTATATATGTTTCATTATCTCCTGGAATGCCACAAATGACACTAGTCCAAGCAATACTGCAGTATGTGGCTGCGTGAAGGTCAAAGTTACAACATGTAATGTGGAGAAAGGCAGAAATGATGCATCAAGCACAAGATTCAAGCTTTTGTCATCTCAGCAATTTGTTTTTTTCAATCAAAAACAAAATAAACATGCTTCTAATTCTGTCAACGTCTCTAAAGGTTTGTCAATGGCTCCTTTGATTTATATATAACACATATGAGTCTATTTTATTCTGGTGAAGTTACATAGGCCTATATTAGGTCTTATATTTTCCAGTGTTAGGAAATGTGCTAAAGACAACTGTTTAAGATTATACACTATTTATCTATGTATATTGTGTGTGCTCCTTGTGTGCTCTTACTACTGTCCTCTATGTGTGCTGCAACACTGACATTTCCCCACTGTGGGACATATATAGTCTTGTCTTTGTATCATTGCACGAGATATGAGTTCATAAAGCAGGGGTTGGCATAGATAAGCTTTCTTGCTTCAGCCTTCTCCTTTTGAGCTTGGACAACATTTTTTTATTGTATTTTTTAAAGTCGTGCCAACAATTGAATGTAAGCAGCTCAAAATAATTCAAATAAATAAGATAAAGGTTCTCTCATCTTATCTTCAATTCAGTTTATTCTTGTAAAGCCCTACATCACAACAGTAGTTATCTCGGGGGACTGTACAAAACACATTGATTAAAGACTTAAACAGTTCAAACACAAGAAATGCAATAGATTAAAAAAAAGGGGTCATAAGGGGCAGATTACTAATGATAAATGTTCATAAATGTCCATAAATGTCCATTGTTAATGCTGTTGTAATGCTACTGCAACATACAGTTCCACCTGAAAAAATCACATACACAAAAAGACATAGTTCAGGCATTCTTTAATCTTGGTTGCTTTTCCAAGGAGACAAGTCGGAAACAGAGCACAACCAGCTCAGCCCCCTTCCCAGAACATGTCTGCTTGAAAACGGCTGCAAAGTCCTTTTTAAGAACACACCTCCACTTCCATATACAGTCATACAGTCTCACAATGAGATCTTAGCATGTCAAAAATAAAATACAGGAAGAAGCCACAGAGTACACAGAGACTGGCTTTGTCAAAGAGGTCCATGACAATACTAATGCATCGGTTTTATACAGCGCTTTTTTGGACACTCAAAGACGCTTTACATGTCATTACTCATTCACTCTATACACAGTGGTGATAAACTACTACTGTAGCCACAGCTGCCCTGGGGCACACTGACAGAAGCGAGGCAACCATAATGTGCCATCGGCCCCTCCACCCACCACCAACCATTCACACACACACCAGACTCATTTTTGGCAACGGGGGTGAAGTGTCACGACGGCAGTTTGGCACTTTACAGCCGCAGCCACCCCACTGTGGCACCTGCTGTTCCCAGAGGGTTAAGTGTCTTGCCAAGGACACAACGACAGCAGATATCACTAGGAGTCGGTGGAGAAACTCTTGAGGTGGGCTCGAACCCACGACCTTCTGGCTCAAAGGCCAATGCTCTACCAACTGGTTCTGTCGCCCTCAATATTCTAAAAGTCATGGAGCATCTCAACCCCCCCAAGTGTAGACTTCCTGGAGCCAGACATGAATCTATTTCCGTATACGTTATATTCAGCCACATGGAATTATTAAAATGATAACTTAAACAACATTCCAATTACATCCATAAATGTTGTTGAATGTCCTGGATCATTACCTTCAAATACACAATACACACCAGAAATAACATTGACTTTTCCATTAGCAAAGGGATCTCATGTTGATTTGAAGCCCAATAGTGTAGTGTGCACTGCTGTACCCTGAGCTCTCCAGACTCGGACACTTCTTCACCTCTGAGGTCAGCTTCTGTCTGTCTTATTATGCGGGCGCCTCTCCGCACCGGGCCCCTCTCACACCAGGCCCCCCTCCGAAGGCTCCATCAGTACAATAGTGTTCTGATGCATGGAGGCTCTGACAGTGCCGCTGATTGCTTGTGTGATCTTTGGTTTTATGGTTTGACCCTGAGCTCTCAACTCCTCCGCGTGAAAGATGGTTAACAGCACAGCAACAGGCCGACAGCTATATAAGGCAAGACAAAGGGGAAGAGAGTGATTTGGGACTGGATAACTTTGATACAAAAGTTGGGGAGAAAGTGTAAAAAACTGTCCTCAAAATATATCACTCAAGTAAACGTACCGACTACTGATCCAAGCAAGTACAATGACTTCCTGTTACTTATATTGTAGGGCTGAAACAACTAATCGATTAATCGACGACTAATCGATTATTGAAATAGTCGACAACTATTTTAGTAATTGATTAATCGTTTTCTGGTTCACACGGACTCAAACAGAGCAAAAATGACATGAAAATGTAGTATTTTTGATTAAAACCGACTTTTTATAATTTCATGATTATCTGTGTCTCATCCAATCAGATAGCATAATTAGCACAAAGAGCCTGTTACAAACATTTACTTTAAGTTTACGCCATCAATACGTCCTTTTTGTGAGGAAAAAATAATTTTTTTCTACACAATTCACAGCCAAGCGATTACTCGATTAATCGTAAAAATAATCGATAGATTAATCGATTACAAAATAATCGTTAGTTGCAGCTCTATTATATTGCAATAAAAATGATTCTGATTCTGATTCAAAAGTGGGGCCACCTGCACGTGTAAGTCTGATTCTGTCAGACTTCAGGAGCTAAGCAGAACAGGGCATGGAAAGTACTGCGATGGGAGACCTCTGAGGACACTATAGGGCTAATGGCACAGATTAGTGGCCTTGCTTACGTCAGCTTACCCCAGGGACCAAGTGGTTTACTATGGTTGCTATGGAGTGAATACATAATGCCTTTGGAAGTGTTTGTAAAGAAGTGATAATTACTATATATGATTATTTATTCATTCATTCAATTTCATCCTCTTTATTTGTCAATTTTTGGGTAGGGGTGTCCATGTGAGTCTTTCTGTGGGGGGCTTCAGGCAAAGTGGGGTTAAGTGTCTTGCCCAGGGACACAACAACAAAAGACATCATTACAGGGGATTGAACTGACTGTTTGATCTGAAGACCAATGCTCTACCAACTGAGTCACTGTCCTAATGCATTATAAGATGTGTTTAGGGGTGTATCTGATGTATACTAGTGAGTCAATGAAGTTGATTGACAAGGATAGCCAAAAATGAGGCTGAGACTGCATAACGAGATACTTTATTCATCCCAAAGAGTGGAAATTTCAGTGTTGCATCACCAGTTACAGAACAACGAGGAATGAGGAGCACAAAAACACAAGATAAATGAACAATCTACTAAAATAAAAGAAAGTAAAAACTAAGTAAACCCTAACCCTAACCCTAACTTTAGTAATAAAGAAGCAAGGATAAAATCTCTAGCTTTAGCATAAAATGTACAGTACAAAAAGTATAAATGTTCAAATCATTCAATAGTTGGGTACATTATATGCAAATTGTGAAAGGATCCCCGCTGCTGTCAGACTGTACAATAAGTCATCAATGACCTGCACTCTGACTGAAAAACCAGCACTGCTATTCCCACTTTTTATTGTACATAATATATCCTGCATAGACTATATTTTTTCATCTTATCCGTAAAAACATAATTTACACTGTTCTAGCGAGTTTCTAGTTTGTTCATAAACCGGCCAATGTTTAAGCAAAACAATCCTGTTTCTCCTTTTTCGTATACCGGCTTCTTCTTCGCCTTCACTTGTTTATTTTCCCGTTATATTAACTGTGCATGCTCTGATTAGCGAGCACATGATTTGGGATGCAGAGCTGAGTCTATTCTATTCATTTAATGCACTGCCTCCCAGTAGACCCATCATTAGCATGCAGCAGAGAACCAGCCGAGTCCGACATACAAGGCTTTGCATCCATGACCTGATTACCCTTCTAAACACCTGGGGATCGCTTAAACACGGCCTGTGATTGGTCGAGATAATTATACAAGGCTTGGAGTGTTTGACATGAGGTTACTGTAGCGTGATAAAATCCACCATTGGGTTTAATGCTCTTCTTTATGTCCTTAAAGTCAGCTATTGTCTTGCCTACACAGACGTTTGGATTTAAATATTATGCTTCTGGGATAACCATGGCAATTCATCAACTTCCATCTCATCCACAGCCAAAGCAACTTCAAGTCCTCTAGGATTGTGTTATTCATACATCTTCATCTGCTCCTATGATGGCTGTAATTTAAGCATTTGTATGGGGTACCTGCCATGGAGTCGCCCACGGCAACAGAGTGGGGGGTGGATAACCGCACTTGTTTCACACCAAAACACATCTAATCGAGGTCCAAACTGTTATACATAAATAAATACATTTATGGTTTTGATACATATGTATGAAATAAACTGACACTACACCAGAAATGTGTAAATACTAAAAATGGTATACCTTGAAACGAGTCTGCAATCTCTTTCTATCAATCTCCTTTTTTGCTGTTGTTATTGTAAGTAACAATGAGTCACAAATTATTAATTTGCTTTGGAAACTGTTAAAATAAGTTGTGAAGAAGTAAGATATTGACATAAAGGCATGCATAAACAAACAAAATGAAATTCAAATATATAAATACACACAATAGTAGTCTATATATTATAGCTACTTAAAATATACCACCATACTCATCTAATTTCGTACTTATGGAAATAATAATTGACCAGAGTTTACAGATGGCTATGGCTTTTTTTTTCACCTGGTCTTATACTTTTTGTCTTCCCTGCCTTTATGTGTTTCTCTATAATCTTAATTATTATTATTATTATTATTATACCCTTTTATTATCAGTTCATTCCCCCCATTCACATGTCTTTGCTATTGAGTTCTGATTTAAATTTTTGTTTTATTCATTTTTATCACACTTTTGGATGCATCTTCATTTCAGTACACACTATTTTGCAGTCTTGCACTCTGGGCCCTCCCTGCAGGCTTGATATTTGGCACAATCAGATTTGGTCCTAACCCAATTTTAACGCAGAACTTCCTCTTTGCCAGTTTGTCATTTCCTCCCCACAGTCGTCCTGTTTTGCTGATACTTCATTGTCTTTGATTAAATGGGGAAGTGGAGGATTGACATATGAGAGCAGGTGTGTGAGCGCTTCAGAAGTCGACAGCAGCGATGACACAGAGCCCCCTCCACCTCAGTCTTGTGCTGGTGGCCGTCTTTGCTGTGCTCCCAGGTGAGACATGGGAACTACATATTTTTACTCAGAAAAACTATTGTTTACGGTTGTGTTTTTGGGGTCTCTGCTGCAGTAAACATGTTTGTTGAGCCTAAATGAGCTTAACTGCTTTGTCTCATTTCTCACCATCTCTTTAATATGCATTCAAAGTTCCTTTTGTGTGTGTGTGTGTGTGTGTGTGTGTGTGTCTGTCTGGTTTTAAATATAGCCTCTGCTTATAGACATTTGTTTTTCACACAGGAACATTATCAATGTCAAGGGATAATGTTGACATTTATCTTTTATTATGTTTTGAATTATTTATGTTTTGTTCTATAACTAAACAGGTGTAGTCATGGACAAGCCCTGGAACATATTAGTCTTATATACAGTATTTAGGTAAATTTTTTCATATTTTAGACGTATTTATTGCATTAAAATGTTGTAATCAAACAAACCGTTTTTATGGACTTATTTATTTGACAGAGTAAGTACAACCACCAAAATGTAACCAATGTAAGGGATAGAGGTCAAGTTAAAATCACTTATAAAATCATCTGTGATTAGTTTTGTAAATTAGACTTTTGATACTTTAGACTCCGCTGAACATCAACTGAAAAACAGATCTTGTCAGACCTCGGAAGCTAGACCCAAGCCCTGCACACTTGAACTCAGTTTCTGTAAAAACCCAGTCCGTGACAAAGCTTGGTGCAGAATGTGAAAGTATTACACTAAATTAGGGCTCAAGTCTGTAATTAATTTTATGTTGTTTTTGAATGATTTTGTACCATATCGTCTTGACTGCGTTGAACGAGTAATGGAGGTTGGAATGTATTTGGAATGTCTTTTAATTTGTTTGGATTTGTGTTATACACGATTGTCACCTTATATTGTCACTTCTTGATTTATATTCTGTACATGCTACATTCTCCTCTTCAGGTTGTAACATGGAGACGATGGACAAGGTGTGGGGACATGTGGGACAAGCAAGAGTGGTCCTGCCGTGTGAGTCCAGAAAAAATGAGGCGATCACTAACCAGCAGTGGGAAAAGCAGGCGCCTGTCAATGCCGTCAATAACTCCAAACTTGTGGTGCATGATGTAACAAGTGGGCAGACAAATACATTTGAACCATACAAAGACAAACTGGAGTGGAGTAATTATTCCCTGGTTATCAAAAATGTGAATGTAGAAGATTCCGGAGTGTACATCTGCACTCTCAACATATTTCCCAGTGGAAAATACCAACAAACAACCAGTCTAGAAGTTAATGGTAAGCAATACATTATACAAACACAAGTTTAGACGAATGCAAACACTAAGATTTTACACAATATTTTTGTGTGTGATAATATCATAATAAAACAAAAAATATTAGTCATGCTTATGAAAGAACTTGTTGTAGAACACCCTGGAAATGACTTTCTGTAGATGACTCTAAACTCTTTGTCAATACCACTGACATGTCCTTCTTTTGTAATTTGATACATGAGGATAATAATGACATGAAAATGCATGCAATGTCACTGTGCTGTGTGTTTTTAATTACCGTAATGATTATGCAGAGCCGTTTTTCTCAGACCAGATGCCATTATCAGCGGGAGTGGTGTCTGCGACAGTGATCAGCGTCTTACTGCTGCTGGGAATCATCAGCGCCACACTTTACTTCGCTGTCATCAGACGGTCAGTGCTCTGCAGCCATGACCAAAGGCAGTACTGTACACGCCTGTAGAGCAGCACAAAAGCCTGGAGTCTGGAGAAATGTAACAGGATACATATATTTTTTTACAACACCTAATTTACAGTAATTCAATTTCCAACTCCGTCAGTCTTTTGGGATGGTACCATTATTGATGTTTAATGGAGCGTGTAAAGCTCAGTCAATCAGGAATGTGAATATAACCTTGAGCTTATATTTAGTTACAAATGCACGTACGAACATGACACATGGTTCGTCGTGTTCTCATTACTTACAATGTTGTACAAAGTTTGAGTCATAGAAGGTAAAAAGGAGTAATGTGCAATTAATTTAATAAGAGAAATCGCACAAGACGGACATTTTCTTTCTCAAATGAATATAATTTTTACAAATTGACAAAATTGGTAAAAAATATTGTCTTGTTGTGGATATTGGGTCAGTAACTATATTCTGAATACCTAACTGTGTTCTGGAACAGTTGTCTACAATGTGAATATAGTAGAAAGCATTGTGGCGGAAAAAAATTGGTGTGATTTGTGTACATTTGCATCCACTTCTGTGTGTGTGTGCGTGTGTGTGTGCGTGTGTGTGTGCGTGTGCGTGCGTGTGCGTGTGTGCGCGTGTGTGTGCGTGTGCATGTGCGTGTGTGCGTGTGTGTGCGTGCGTGCGTGTGCGTGTGTGTGTGTGCGTGTGTGTGTGCCTGTGTGTGTCCATTTGAAGGAACAGATGAGTAACTAAAAACACAGTGGTACATTACAAGCCATTTCCTTGAGTAAAACCTGAATCTGAATTAAAGAACATTTGCATCCATAGATAGTGCAATCCGTCGATACCTTGAAAATAAAGTGTGCTAACTATTTTATCTTCACAGAAGTCCATCTTCCTCCAGGAACCTCATCTTGATCGGTGAGAATGCGGTTCCATTTTTGTAAACACCTGTGATATTTTATTCATAGCGTTTGACTTCGTTCTATTCATAAATGGAATGTCTCTCCTCAGACACTCAAAACGCTGTCAGAGATCCATCACGACCATCACTTCTGAAAAGAGAAGACGTAAGATCTATCTGTGCTTTGTGTGCGGCTGTCGTCTCCTCTGACTGTCTTTTGTGCAGACGGTCTATGAGCAAGTGGAGGGGGAGCCGTCCAATCAGAGCCCTGCAAGAATGTCAGAGGATCATGTGACATACGCAAAGGTGAAGAGGGCCAGGCACGATGGTGACGTACTGTACTCTCAAGTCATGAGAATATAAAACAATGAAATATGGACGAAGAGCAAAGGATCAAATGGTATCAAAGAGCTCTGGTGAATGCATTATGAAATTGGTGTTATTAAATATCCATGTTTTTGCATCTATCTGTGATCAATCATCATACATGAGGGTGCATTTGGAACATGAGCAACAAAACCGGAGTGGTCAGAGTCGCACCTCTCAGCAAAAAAAGGTCCAGGGTTTAATTAAATGGCAGGACAGGGCCTTGTGGAGTTTGCATGTTCTGCCAGTGTATGTATAGATATCCTCAAGATGATCGGGTTTCCTCTACCACTAAAAACATGCACAATAGGACAATAGAGGGGAACTAGAATTCTGTTAATTCTGATCTAGCTGTTTCTTAATACACAATGGCCCTTTCAAGTTCATGATAACATAAAAAGTTATTCTTCTTCATCATTAAAACGAGATACATTTTTGTGCAATAAATGTGAGAATATTCTCTATTTGTGAGTGTATTTGAAGTGCATCATAATACATTCAAGTCACCACTTGAAGACCACTGAGTGCTTCTGTTCTGTTTTTTTTATTTTTAAAGCTTGAGCCAAATGTAGTTCTGCTTTTTATCTTCCACTTTCTGATTATTTAAAAGCTGTCATCACTTTTAAATAATCACATGTCTGCTACAGTAAACTGAATGATCAACCATGACCAATGTTGTGGTCAGACAGCTCGGTACCCCGGCTTTAAAGGCAGGAAGAGCTGTAATCTACATTCTTTTAATAAAATAACTAATATCTCTGATGCAATGGTGGTTTGACATCACTCACACAGTAATGAACACTGGATTTTTAAGGAGTAGGCATATTTACAGGACACATGCGGCACATTGTCAATTTCTCCATCGTAAGATCAATGAAGTTTTATCTTATCTTATATTGTGCAAGATCACATTTTAGTACTTTCAACCATGAGACAACAACGTTCCTCTCCAAAAACAGACCTGGAGTTGTTCTTAGCTCCATCCACACTAATACTGGCACAAATACGACTCCCAACAGATTTTGTCGAATCGCTACTACTGTATTTCAAACTTGTTACGCCATGACGGACCCTTACAATATTATGTTGTGTTCAGACAATATTTTAACCCTAACCCTAAACCTTAACCCCTTACCCCTAACCACTATCCTTAACCCTAACCCATTTTCTGCTTTTTAAAACTAAATCATACTCTCAATTTTAGATTATATATATCTTGGGGAGCCGAGCTTTCGCCATCTCTCCTCCCACTCTCTGGAACTCTCTCCCGCCTCATCTCAGAAACTCAAACTCACTAAACTCCTTCAAAGAACAGCTAAAAACTCACCTCTTCCTCCAAGCATATGACTCCGCTTTGTACTCTTCTTTCCTCCTTTTATTTTTGTGTCTCTGTCAGAAAGTGTCTGTGTGCGTGTCCTTAATTGTGAAGCGTCGAGTTTTTGAAAAGCTCTCTACATAACCAATGTATTATTATTATTGTTATTATATCTAGAATTATTCTGTGAAGTTACATACGCACATACCTTCATTGGGTTTTGACTCCCATCCATTTAAATAGAGGTGAACCCGATATGAGGGTAACAGCGGGATAGGCGGGCCCAGTAGAAACCTGAATATGGCTGCATCTGTCTGTTACAGAAAAAACTTGAAAAGAACCAGGTCATAAACTCTATCTATTGATCCGACGACGATGTCTTGTTGTTGTCTCACATTCTATTCCTGCAGAACGTAGTCAACATTTCACTCTGGCAGTTTTTATTATTCTCATTTATTTTGTACTGTACCCCTCGCCTTGCACCATTCCTTGAAAACCACTGTTGCAATGCTGCCTGAACGGCCCTGCGCAGCTTGTAGCGGGGAAGAGAGGTCGAGCCGAACATGTATATTTGCCAGTAACAAGCGGCTGGGGTGAGTACCATCATGGGGGAATGTCAAATGAAGCTGTTGCGGGTGTGTATGTATTCCGACAGCCTTGTCAGCATTCCGTGCACAGACAGAGGAGTAAACAAAGAGCACGGGAAGAAAACGCATCCAAATCCACGACGGCCTCCGCTGACAGTGATCATTTAGGGAACAATGTAATGTGGGCAAACACACTTATCATTCATTATCTGGGGCACGCTGGTGTGAAGACATCTTTTTCAGCCAATGGAGGAGAAACACAATGGCTCACACAGTTCAGAGGCGCAACAATGGAGTCCTTTGGGAGGTTTTAATGGGAGTTGTACTTTCTGAATGTGATTTCAGGCTTATTGAATGTAAATTACGGAACAGATAACAAATATTATAATGAGGTGGAGAGGAAGATGGCAGTTTGAGAGGTTGAACGGGCTGTTTGAGGTTTTGTCGTGTGACAAAAGGTGATGATTGGCAGTGTTGTAGTTTTTTTACTTCTCATGCACGGAGCATGCTCTAGAATTGCCTGAATTCTGGAGGCAATGGATCAACTGTTATACAGATTTTTTTTTAAATATATGTATGTATTTTTGGTCAGTATTTTGTTGTCTGATTTGTGTTATATAGAGTCTTTGTGTGTCTGAATTAAACATTAGCTCAGTTGGTAGAGCATTGGCCTTAGGGCCTGAAGATTGTGGGTTTGATTCCCCCCCACAAGACCTACTCCAACTGTTACCGCTAATGTCTACTGTCGTTGTTTGGGGGTCTTCTGGCAAGTGTCGACCCCGCTGAAAGAACAAGGCTGTGTCATCGCTGACTGATCCGAAGCCATCTTCCTGTGGACTCACCACCTGCAGAGGATCAGCGAAGGACCGGTGCCATGAGCATTGGGTGGCAGCTCTCATTGCCACCCCGCCCCCCCCTGACCGACCCAGAAATGGACAAATAAAGAGGAAGAAAATGAATGAATGAATAATAATGCTCTATCTGCTATTCTGTTTTTGAGTTCCTTGTATGTTACATCCCAATTCTCTACATTTCTCATCTTGTCATGTAGATGCATGCCACTATATAAACTGATGATTCCATTGTTCAAGGATCTGCTTTCTGCATATTTCCATTAGATTTCGCAGGCCTGGCTTTAGGGCTGTATTTGTGGACTTTCTCTTAAATATTTCATATATACACTAAATCAGCTTTATTATACTTAAACAGAGTACAATCATTTCTGTCATTATCACTGGTTGTGCAGGGAAAACCAAGTCTTCTGCCAGATAGAAGATACCACAGCTGCTCTGATTAACATTACCTATTGTTTTTCACTGGCGTATGAATATGTTGGTCAGTATGATAATGGTAATGTTGGTGCTTGAATAATGGTCTTGCAGCCGTTAATTTAAATAAAGGTATAGACCTTTACATCGCAGTGTGAAGAGTTGTCTGAACATATACACATTCTGGACAAGTGAAAATAACTATGAAAAATGAATTGAAGCAGCATTTTAATTTCAAGCCATGCACTCACCTTTGTATCCACTGGGACACATGCTAAATCAAGGCTTCATCGCTCGGTCTGGAGGGATATGTTTTTTGTTCCTTCCTAATTTCACAAATGCATGGTAAGAGTCGAATATTGAATATAAATTGTGGGACATCACTAGACCTTGTCCTTGTAGTTTTCTGAGTACAGACTGAAGAACAGCAGAATAAATGTTGCACAAGCAAAAGAGAATTACTTTCTGAAAGCCAAAAATATACTTTAGAGAAAATATACTTTTCATGGGCAGTGACTGTTTGGGGTGAACTGGTATGTAAAATTGTACTAATATGAAAAAAAATCAGTTGAACTCTTGTGAGATTTCATAACACTTTGAAGCAACTTTTGTTAAAGTTAAACTCATCATTCTATCAATGTGCAGAAGCCTGTACTTTTCCACTTCATGTTTTGACTATCTCTACTGGCACCGTGGCAGCTGCTGATTGGAGGTCTCCATGCCTCCGCTCTGTATAATACACTTGCATTCTGTGTTTGTGTTGTTCGTGCTGTCTCTACCATCGACAATAAAACATGTCTTCTGTCTGAATTTAAGACGCGATCCCAGACTTTGTCATCTTCTTCACTCTTTTGGGGGAATAAAAATCTAACTCTGAGATATCGGGAAACTCAGTGTTGTGTGTGGCAAAGTATAAAAACTACCTACATTAAAAAAAGTGATGAAAAATAAGTCAAAAATTGCTCAAATATGGCAAAATATATTTTAATTCTATCACATTTTGACTGCCTTGAGACCAGATTTGTTACGGAACAAGGAGAATTATCGTTTTAGATGGTTATAAGAAATGTCTCCCTCGAAATGAGAAAATAATGCAATAGTTCTTGAAATATGAATAAAAGGCTTTTGCTTTGACAAAAAATGATTACCTCATATTTTATAATTTTTTTGCAGTAAAGAAGATTGTGGAATTAGTGCATGTCTCTAATAGCTGCTTATCTCCAGATCTCATGAAATCCATTCCTGGTCAAATGCCTTTAATATCAATCGTGGATGGGGGAATCTGAGGCACATAGGGTCGGGAAAAAGTTCAAAACTCTTGAAATTAAACTCCTGGTATAACTGCAGGTCTTTCTTTCCTCTTACCTTTGACTGTCTTTTCCGTTTGCAGAGATGGAGGCCAGCCCTTTTTTCCTGCAAACGGTGGGCTAATATACAGTTCATGGGTGGGAATGGAGATTTTCAGAACCGTAAAACTGTAGCAACTGTAACATTAGCAGCTCCATTAAAACAGACCCAATTCATTTAATTGTCGACGATGTTAAAAGATGCATTTCCTCCTGTTTTCTTTATCAGCATGTTTTCTTATGCTCAATCCCCTCGTGAATGTGTTTGCAGCCACCAAAGGGAGTAATTAGGGTGATCAAAAGCTTGAGACAGTATTGACGATGCTGTGTGGAGTCTATCAGTCTGGCAGGAGTCGCCACGGTGGACGGCCAAGTCTGTGTAAGCGAGGAAGTAGCCACTGGCGCATTTTCAAGTCCCTAAAAAGATGCCCAGAATTAACAGATTAGGACAGATCTAATGGAAACTTATGCAAGCGTCTCATTGGGATTCTCTAGTGTGTGCTCCTTTGTTTCCACCATCACATTTTTTTTTTTACTTCCTTTCCCTATCGATTCTCCAAGTCTGTATCTCCCCTACGCTTAGTGAACAAAGGTGAAAAAGTATAGTCTTGCCAAGCCTTACACTGGATAACAAGGGACATTAATTTCACATTTCGAACTCCCGCTTCCCTGCACACTCTCCCCTTTATAGTTGTCAGGTTATCTCTGAATGTAGAAAGTCAAATGGATTCTCACAGGACACTCTCATATTTTACACTGGGCAACAATGTAATAGATAGTGTGATTTACTATGTTTCTGTCGCGATTCAAGAAGACACAACATTCAAGTAATTAAGCCAAATCTCAGTATTTTATAATCCACCATATTGTCACAAATAGGCTGTATTTAACTCTGTATTCCCACTTTGAACAACGGTAACAAAACAAGACAACCAAAAAAATAAAACAACAGTAAATTATTCTCTGGAAGTCTTCAGTTGTTCTTTTAAATCACATACAGATACAGTATGTCCTCTGCCAGGGCTCCCTTTCACTGGAGAGAGTGTTCTCTTTCAGCAAAGTGTCTGTGAAAGCCTCCAATCTGTAGGTGAGAAAAGTAAGGAAGTGTCTGTCTCTTCTCTTCAGTGCAAACTTGTTCACACAGAGTACTTCTGTGTACGGGAGCAGAATTTAATTTGTCAGTTAAATTTCACTGTAAAAATACAGATGCTCACTCCCTCCGTAGAGCAACAACTTTTGTCCAAAGTAACAAAAACATTGGTCTTTTAAGAAGCAGTTGTGGCTCTGCTCTCAGTCCTGGTCCCCCAGAAGGTCTGTGGTGTTACTGCTCTGCGGCAAACAGGGCCGGCTGCTGTGTGGCGGGGGACTGTGGTGAAGTCTCCTCGGACTGGGCCCCCCTCCCCCCTCACTGTCTGTGTTAGAGGAGGACTGTGGTGGTGGTGGGGGCAGACGAGGCAGTGGTGCGGACGACGGGGGTATTCTGCTGCTAGTGGAGCTTAAACTCCCCCCCGCTCTCATGTTCTGAATTCGTCTGCACTCCTGGCAGATGCGCACATGGCTGCACCCGCGTCCAGGCAGCAGGACTGGAGTGGGCGCAGGCGGGGGAGGGGTGGTGTTGGCTCCGAGAGGATCGTCGAGGATTCTCTGCGGTCCCGGGCCAACGTCTGAAGGTCCTGAACACCCCCCTCCAGTCAATGGCCCCGCTCCACTGTAGAGTTTCCCGTTGCACATGCGCATTTCTCTGACCAGACGCAGAGGCCGCGGGGCGCCCATGGCGATGCGAGCTGGATGACGCAGAGCCGCTGAACTGCTGAGGGTCCGGCGTCGACGCAAACGGGAGCTTTTCTTACATGAGACGACGTTTCGGAACTCGGTGATCATTTCCTGACAGACAGACACCTGCAACAGGCAAAGAGAGGGGCGGAGGGACGAAGGAGGGACAAAGGAAAGGAAATACGGAAGAAGGGGAAGAGGAAGTAGGCGGGAAGGGTGCCACGGACACAAGAAGAAAGCCGGTAGCAGAACAAGGCGGTGGTGGGGTAGGACATAGAGATGAGAAAAGGGAAGTGGAGAAAGAAGCCAAAATTAAAACAAGGCAGAAGCACGTCAGAAGAAAACAGACACAGCAAAGTGTAAGAAACAAAAGTGAGGAGCGAGGGCACAAAGGTCGACAAATGAAAGCACGGAGAGCAGCGATGAGCAGTGAAGGGGGAGTATGAGGAGATGGCAGAAATGGGAGAGGATCCCAGGAGCAGAGAGGGTTATTACAATCTAAACACACAAAACACCAAAATGTTGTTTAGTTTATGGACACTTCTTTATGGCACTATGTTGTATGGACGGACAAGCAGGAGCTAACACAAGGCTCACTCATACATGCCACAGCTGAACCCTCTAACGGCAGTCATTCCAACAACACTCTCGCTAGAACCCAATGTATTTTCACAAACTACATTCCCATTGAAATAAGAAAGAATGTGCTCACACAAACAGAAACAATAGTCACTGTCAGGGAACAGACACTGATGGTCGAATGGATGAATGATGGAGAGAGAAAGAGAGATAGACGCACAGACGCACAGTGAGATGGATGAGAAGGATTCCGAGAATGGAAACGAAGAGTACCAGTGTACATGTGAGGCATGTAAAAGAAGATACATCATGACATTTAATGCCAAGGAAAAATATCACACTACTTTTAATGCAAGCGAATATTGGCTTTCCTCAATATTGCTTATCCATACACACATCAATTCCACACTACAATTAACTACTAAAATATGGGACATCATTAGGGTACAGTGACCAGTCCAATACATGCAGAGTGACATTCAATTAGAAAATTAACTTATTTGCGACAGTTTTTATTGATCACATCTCAACCATGTCACTTCACATGCACAACACATAAAATAGACAAGGGTGGAGGTTTACATTGATGACACATACAGACAGACAGACAGGCAGACGCACAAGCACAGGCAGAGTCAAAAGGGCTGATGCCATGGGAACCTACTGGGGAGTGTCTGAGGGGTCGGCGAGGACAGGTATGGGGGCATACCTCATCGGTCTCTGCCGAGCGCCGCGTCGACCACACAAACTCCATAATCGCCACAAACACGGCGATGATGAGGCCGCAGATCAGCACCACAAAGATGCCTCCAATGTTCTCCATGCCCAGACCTGCAGAGGCCCAGAAACAGAAAAATATACGTGACATATCAAGCAATGCAAACTGACATGGTTCTGAACACGTATTATATGAGCTTGATCTATAATTTATATGTGCGGTTCAAAGGAGAATTACGGATATTCTCAAATCCCTACAGTTGTGAAACGGCTGTCGAACATGGAGCCAAATTCAGAAATGTAACTTGAAAGAGGGGAACATTATATAGAATACTGAGCAAAGTGAAATACAGCTTTCCCTGTGATGCCTTATTACCTCCATAAAATAAAAACTACACATTTATGGTAAACTATTCAGGGTCAATGTTAAATTCCAATTTATTTTTGGATATCCCTAAATCACAACACCGGGACTTTGTTGTGGATTCCACAACAACAGATCAGAGAATCTAAAAGTTTGAACACAGTAAATGCAAATATAACAAACAAATAGGAGCAACGCATGTAGGTCAGTAGGAAGCGGTTTGAGCATTCATGTAAATAGATGTGCATACAGATGTTATGCTCCTCCATCCAGCCATCCATTTTCTTCCCCTTACTCCATTTCTGGATCGGGGGGTGGCAGTCAGAGCTGCACCCAGTACACAGAGCACCAGCCCCTCACTGATCCTCCTGCAGGTGGTGAGTCCACAGGGGCTGAGATCTTTCAGCGGGGGCTTCAGGCAAAGTGGGGTTTAAGTGTTTTGCTCAAGGACACAACGACATCAGTCATCAGTGGGAGTCGTGAAGTAGGTCTTATGGTGGGCTCGAACCCACGACCTTCAGGCTCAAAGGCCAATGCTCTACCAACTGAGCCACTGTTACCAAAATGTTAATGTAGTGCCTCCTCAAACAACTCAAGAAATACAAAAATCCATCCCATACCATATGCAAACAATAATGTATTGTATGTCAAATGCAGGCTTATGACATACAGTAAATCCCTCAGTACTGGATCAACAAGATGTTTTAAATGAGGATTTATTTATTTATTTATGAGGTTAATGAAGTACTAATAGCATCAATCATTGGGAAGTCAATAAATTATTCTCAAAAAGTATACAACTCAACCCTTTAAGTGTGCTCTGAATGTATACACAAGACAGAGTCAAAAGCTGCTGTTCCTTTGATTTTTTTCCACTTTCTTGTTTGAATAGATACTAGACTTTAGCTGTTCCTAAAAAAATATACTCAACTCTAGTAGCCGTACTGATTCACAGAAGAGGTTTTTTATTCATCAAAATTCAAATGCACAGAGCTGAGTGAAGACCAACTCTGCTCCTCCTCTGAAACTCTGCATATTGCACACTGATGTTAAGGTTGTTACTAAAACCATTTTTTAAAGAGATTTCCATCGGACAGTCAAGACAAAAGAAGCATTGTCACTCTCTCCTCTTCGGTACAATTCCAATCACGATGCATAAACAAACAGTAAAGTATGCTTTGTTCTTTGCGTCCTTCATGCAAGGGCACCAAGTGGATAGTTGGCCATTAGCTCCTCTGCAGAAGGGGGTGCATGTCGATTCCACTGAACATTATCGAGACAGCGGCAGATAGACGGCTGCGGTCCACTGACCCTTGGCACGGTGGTCCTCCTCTTTGGGACATTGGCCTCCTTCCCACCATCGCCTCTTCAAGATCTCCAGACGGTTATTCTCCTGCAGCTGGAGGATGGCCAGTGTGATCTCATCCCGGAAAGGGGACCCTAAAACACAGAGACGGGAAAGAGATGGAGATGGTAAAGTGAACGGTGCCAAAAGCTAGAGGCAGTTTATTTTAAAACAGGATCACAAAAGCACCCTGGAGGAAGCAGCAAGAAGCTTATCCATACACACATCCATTCAAGATTACTTTTAACTGCTAAAATATAGGACAATATTAGGGTACAATGACCCGTCAAACACATATGAGAAAAAATATGTGAGACACACAACTGAAGGATTTCACCATCACCCTTTTTAATGTACCGTGATTATTTACTGCCTTGTGTGACTGTTTCTGTCTTGTTTTACTCAGCACTTTGAGTTGCCTTGTGTATGAATTGTGCTATACAAATACCCTTGCCTTGCCTGGCCTAAACAATCAACTTTTTGCAACATTATTCATTGATCAAATCTCAACCGTGTCACTTCAAATGCGCAACACATAAAAGAGACAAGGGTGGAGGTTTAAATTGATGACACATACGGACAGACAGGCAGAAATGGGACCCTAAAAACACAGAGACGGGAAAGAGATGGAGATGGTAAAGTGAACGGTGCCAAAAGCTAGAGGCAGTTTATTTTAAAACAGGATCACAAAAGCAGCCTGGCGATAGCTGCAACAAGCTTTTATTGTACACATGTAACAGGGATCTTTCAGATAAAGACTGAGATTACAACAATGGCAGATTGTGTCTACAAAGTGCCACAAAAGCTATCAGAGCTCGTCATCAACATCAAATGAATTGTGACAAAAATACAATTTAATTATGGATATTTTTTGCATAATCCACAGAGGGATTAGTTGTTAGGCTTGTCGGAATTAGGCAACATTAAGTCTGACATCATAAAAGCCTGTTTTTGGCTGGCTGGGGACATTATAAGTCTGGACTGATAAACACATGAGCGAGTGCAGTCAGATTTTATTTTATTCCCGACAAAGTTTTATTCAGTGTCAAAGTTTCCCTCATTTACAAGAGATAGCACTAACATGTTCAAAGGAATTTAGTTAATCTAGCGGTAGTACTAAATGAGTTAATTGTAAATATCATTTGAAGAGACAACACCTTGTTAGGTTGAATAAGATAAAAATATTGATCCCAAACCATGGATCTGGATTAAAGTTGCCAAAATCACCAACACTCAACATTGTGAGGAAATATTGATGCATCATTTATACTGTAGCTAGTTAGCGTCCATCCACTACGGTCTATGCTATCCACTAAAATCCCTCAAACCGTTGCAAAATAATTGTATTTGCTGCGGTACATTTAATAGGTACTATTCATTAGGGGGACAATTAGTACCCTTTCTGAGCCATCCTATAGAAGCCTGTCAGGAGCAGTGGCCATTTTAAAACAGTTGTTTTGTGAATGTTTAAGAGAAATGTATGTATGTATGGTATAAAGGAAATTCCATTTCGAAGTCCAAGTAAATCCAATATCTGATGGAGCAAAGCAAAGCCAACAGAGTGATTGAAGTGACCAGGTGTTTTAACACAACGTTCACTTCCTAGGATCGAAGCGTTGTATAAAAACACCATGAACTCTGAGAGGGCAAACATGAACTGTTGGCTTCCATGTCGGGACTACATAGCTACCAAAACTTCAGGGAATCAAAATAATAAGTCCCATGAATTTGTGTATCTCTCTGTGTCGTCTCTCTCTTCTGTTCACATAAACATACACAGCTGATACAGCAGTGTCCAAACTCTTACCTGCGCCAAAGGAGACACTATCAGAATAAAAATACCCACATAGGTCACATGCTATAAAGGCAGCAACGAATCTACCCATAATTCAGCAGTTACGGTACTTTTTTTGTCATTTATTTTTTTTTTTTTAAACAACATAAGCAAAAATATAAACAAACAAAAAACAGACAAATGATGGCCCACTCAGGCTATCTTTATGACAACAGAATCTTGCTTCTTGATAAATGAAATGAAATTTACCTCATTTTTACTGGCTTTACTCTGGATAATGTCCAGAAATTTAATTTAAGTAGTTTTTTATTCATGCACGCCTTTTTGATTTTATTCTGCTTTAACCTGTTTGCGCTGAGAGCCAAAGCAATTTCCTAGTTTGTGACTTCTTGTTACTCACATGGCAATTAAAGGATTCTGATTCTGAGAGTAAAGTCATCAGCCGTCTTAGTCCACAGTCTTATCCACTCTTTGATTCACGGTCTGTGAGGGCTAATGCTTATTAATCATTCATCATATCAGTGCAATGATGTCTTGATGTGGAGGAATCGCTGCAAAAATTGAGAAAGAAAATGAGATACGAAACATGTTTTTAAATATCTTAAAAGTAAATGTTTCTCAATGCTGTATATCCCCTTAAACTAGTAATACGTGATGAGGGTTATGTAAGAGTATTGTTTGAAGTAAAGAGAAAACCGAAGTGCTCGCTCAGGAATAACATGTCTCCCAGGAAATTGAAGCCGGGACCGTGACCATTCTTCTGAATTAAAATGAATTTGGCACAACTTTCCATGTATCTGTGCCAAACGTTGTCTAACTAAAAGTCATGATTTCTGAGCCTGGTCTGACAACTCACATTACTGTAAACTGAAACTAACTTCCATAGTATACTGTAATATTTATAAAGTTATTGCAAGTCAAAGTATGAATCACCAAGTCAAATTTTAATAACCAGAAAACGGCATGCCGGGAGCGCATTACCATAACCCCTGAGCTGAATAATACAAATCCTTCAAAGCCACTTCAGATGTATTTGCAGATTTTTTCATCACCTTTTAGCACTTGTTTTGAGACTAATGGGACTAGCAGAGATGAGGCCCCTTTAGAGGCGTCTCTTTGCAGAATAGTTCCCTGATACTCACGCTCAGCCTTCATCTTGAGCCACTGCGTCTGGGGCGTCTGAAGTCCACCCACTTTTCTCCTCCAAAGGTGAGGAGTAAGGCCAGAGCAGTGGGAGATGGCTACACTATCAAAAGTTAGCCTTATCCTTTGTGTTGTAAGACTGAATAACAAAAAAAGATAGTGGTGGAACGAATGCTTTTTTTTAAATCACTGGTGGGACATTATAATTAGCAACAGATGGATTTCATGTGGATTTCCCAGATCGCTGAGCAATAGATAGTAATGTTATGAAAAACATTACTAACTATTGCTCAAATTATAAGAGAGCAATATGTTCATACAAATGCATTGATGAACAGTGTGTATACTTTAGGCCACTGTGGAACACTGTATATTATGGTATACAACAGCTGAAAGTCTGAAAATTAGAATATTGGTTAAAAGTGGATTCCTTCCTTAAAGCTATGATTCATAATTATCAACATTATAATTAGTACCATAATATTCCAGTGTATTACAGATTTACGGATGTATACACTAGAGGTACATTATTTTATACTTTTACAGAGATTCTAAGTATAAAGTTGTGCCATACTTAGTATCGACTTATCTTGTGCTGTGTGCTCCTCATTCCTACTGTTCTGTAACCTGTGATGCAACACTGACATGACGTGGGACAAATAAAGGATCTCACAATAACAAATTACTGTAACACTTGATACATCTTGATGCATCACTTTCTGTCATACATTGGTTTCACAATGTTGGTTGATGGAAAGAAGTCAAACATTTGAACACAATTCTTATATTTATCTAACTTTCATTTTTTAAATCTTTCTCATTGTGACAAAAGGAAACACACAATGTGACATCATCAAGCAAAGAGTCCGGGCTCAATGTGAAAGTTGTACAAGGGCACGCAGACGAAGTGCAGCTGTGTTTGTGTGCATCTGTTTTTCAAACCTTTCGACCCTAACTGTACTTCACTACAACGTCTCTTCACTTTTCCTGAGCGTTTTCACAAAGTCCTGGTCCAAAGGTAAAAGGAGCTCGTTCACCGTGAGTGGATGACCACCTCCTCTGCGGCCTGTTACCCCAGAGGAGCCGCTATAAATCACTGGCCACTAAAACCCAAGCCTTTTCAAAAAATAGTCCTCTCCCCCTCGTAGCAACACACTCAGGGGGAATTGCAGTGTTTGGAACAGTACAGTCTATCCTCAAACGTCGCCACTGATTCCAACATGAGGTGCACTCACGGAAGCAGTCGTGCACCGCCTCTCTATGTCCCTTCTCCTGATGCTTTGCCATATTTTTCCCTTTTTTACTTTAGCAGAATTTAGAACGCACTTATTGTCTTGTCAAAAAGTGTCAGATTCAACAAAACAAAACTTCTCAAAATGATGTTTAAATACAGATGAAACATGAAAAATAAGAATATCGCTCAATAGTTAATGCATTTCTGTAATTCTAACTTAAAATGCAAAACTAATACATGACATAGTCTCATTACATGCAAAGTGACATAAGCCAAGTCAGAATATTCAGAACCAATCATCTGTCATGGTGGGGACTAACCCTAATCCACTAAGTCGATCATTTTATTTTGTAATTTCAGTGAATATATTTCTTGTGAATATTTTAATTTTGTATTTCGCCAGTGTCCCCCAGTTACCGGTGTTTCTTGTCTGTCCAGTGTGTGTTTTCCTCTGCTCTTTGTGTATACTTTAATTCTGTGTTGTTGTGTCCTGGCCTTTGTTTTTATATGTACTTTTATAAAATCACATATTATTTGCAGTTTTTTATTTTATTTTTTGACTTGTGACATTATCAACCTTAAAACAAATACCAACTTGACACATTTCATTTGCCGTGTCATAGATAAGTGTCCCATCATAAGTTGAGTTCCACTTGTATTTTATAGCATGTCTCCTTCTCTTTTAAGGTCTCTTATGTGGATATTTTGGCTGCCTATCACTACGAATGTCCCCAGTTCATTGTAAATTATAGTCGACTCCTGATCCCAGTTTAGTCAAGCTTTTCCAACACCACAATTTCTCTCAAAGAGGTTAGTGGGGCTATAGGTGGCCCACTTTACTCCACTCAACTGTAAATAGCTCCTAGACTAATGACTGTGTCCTTGCCGGCTTTGGATAAGTGTCCACCTCTGCTGCACAACCTTGGAATTTAAGATTTGAGGAAAGTCGCTCTTAATCAGCTTTTCGTTCCCTGTATATATATATAAAAGAGCGAGTCAAGGCCCTTATTTAATCAACTTCATAACTCCTTGAGACAGCCAGAATAACGATAATAACAGATTTGTGTTTCCTCTGACACAGACTTAACTTTCCCCCATTTTGAGTAACCTTTGAGTGATTTTATATAACAACTGTGACTGCGAGGGAGGCAATTTTATCCCCTATCATTTATATTAAGTGTTAAGGCCACTGCAGATTGTCATGTTAGATCGGGAAAGCAGCCGAGACGAGAAATCCATATATCTCTTTAAGCTTAAGTAACATCCGAAACAGTTGGTCTATACATGTTCTCTCAGTCTATTGAACTCTACCTAACAGTGTTTAGAATTCATTTAAAGGGTGAGCCGCAGACACATGCATAATTTAATACATGCTTGTCTACTGCATCATCTTGTTTGTGTAGCCTTAAACCACAAGCTCTTTAATAGACCCAGTAAAGTGATGCCGGGTTGTGTATGTGTGTGTGTGTGTGTGTGTATGTGTGTGTTTCCCCTTGAAGTAAGTGTCACTCCGCCATTGACTCTGCTTTGGGAATCACTTGAATGCTGTAATTAACTGCTATGGCTGTAAGTGCTGGTTAAATGCTTTGTTAATATATCAGATACACCAAACAACTTTGCTCTGACAGAGATTAGTCCAGAATCTATCATTTAATTTTCCTTTCAGTTCGGCGCAGAAAATGTGCTTCTGTTTAGTGATCATAGAATTGGGCCTCGATTGCTCGTCGGTTCAAACATCTCAGTATCATCTTGGCTTGTTTTCACAAATATAGTAAAGGGGTGGAGTAAATATGGTGGATCATATTCTGCTTCATCTCAAAATGCACATACACAAGTGAAACAATAACCTGGATCCTCTGCCGGTCAGAAAAAAATGGGTGAAACCGTGAATGAACAGACAGCGATCTGAACTTTAGCCAGATTTTCTCCGGAATGTGCATGTTTTTGGAGGCTGGATGGAGGTTTTTGGACACATTTCATACTGGTGGAACTTTAGGATATTGTTCTAATTCTGTAATCCAACTTACAATTAGACCCTGATAAATAATAGACTCAATACACGCAATGTGATATATGTAGGTTATAATGGGTGATAATTGGCTCACAGCTTGTAAAAAAAACTGCAAATTAAACACATTATTTATGTAGATATGGAGCTTTCGCGAAAGTTCACCGTGGTAGACCCGGCTGTTGCTGCCAGGCCACAGGCTGCTCTTCCTCGACTCATCAATACCAGCAACGCCCACACCCAGTCAACCAATAACCACCAGGACAGCAAGTTAAAAGCCGGAGACGCCCACTTCCCGATCTTCTGAAGTCTGCAAGTACATGTCTGCCCTCCTCGCAGCATCTTCTGCTCGCCTTCTGTGGCTTCTCTGCATAAGCGTTTCACCACTGCTCACTCAACCTTCAATGCGGTCCGAGACACGGCTTTTCCCGTCCTATCCTACTGGCCTAATTATCTACTCTCCAACCCAAGATTCTAAGCGTAAGGGCGCCTGCAACATCAATGGCCCTCTCCGGTGTGTCTCTCTGCCCCTACAGGTCTCCGCTTCTACACGGACGCTGCCCCTTCCGTGGGTTTTTGGGGGATTCTTCCAGGACCAGTGGTTCGCCGGCCGTGGCCCGCTACTTTCCCCGGAGCATTTCCTCTGCCCTACACGAGACATTCCCAGTGGTCGTGGCCTGCGCGCTGCGGAATCACACGTGGCAGAGAAAGAGGATCTCTGTCATGCGTGATCATCTCGACGTAGTGGAAGCATTAAACAAAGGTCGCTCTTCTCACCCAACATAATGTCCCCTGACCATTCAACCTTCATCTCAAACATTCAAAGATCAGAGGCGCCTGCAACACAATAATAGCTCGCTTCGACACATCTCTCTGCCCCTACAGGTCCATGATGCGTTACACTCGCCTCCGCGGCAAAAAGGAGATTTTAACGGACCTCTAATTCTCACTCCAGTCAACCTTCCCATAACAGCAACCTGGTTCAGAGCTCAGCTAAGATCCCTACTGCTCCTCTGCAATTTGTCTCCCCAGCTCTATACAGCCCACTCCTTCAGGATAGGCGCTGCCACGCGCGCGACCTCGCTGGGGCTCCCCCACTCTTCCTCTGCAACAGCTGGGGCGCTGGTCCTCTTCGGCTTCTCCACCTACATCAGGCCAGATGCGACCGCTATCATGGCAGCACAACGTCTACCGGCTTCCTCGTAAGCTCCCAGCAAAGCAAGTAAGCAATAAGATTCTGGTGGCGGCACGCACTTTCCTCAAACGCTCAAAGATTCCTTGCTTTAGCGTCTGGCTGAATATGAGCGTGCGCTCATATTCTCAGCTCGCTCAAAGATTCCTCTGCTGCGACTGGCTGAACATGCGCGTGCGCGCATGTTCTCAGCTCGCTCAAAGATTCCCCTGCTGCGGCTGGCTGAGCATGCGCGTGCGCGCATGTTCTCAGCTCGCTTAAAGATTCCTCTGCTACAGCGGCTGGCTGAACATGCGCATGCGCGCATGTTCTCAGCTCGCTCAAAGATTCCTCTGCTGCGGCTGGCTGAACATGCGCGTGCGCGCATGTTCTCAGCTCGCTCAAAGATTCTTCGGCTACAGCGGCTGGCTGAACATGCGCATGCGCGCATGTTCTCAGCTCGCTCAAAGATTCCCCTGCTGCGGCTGGCTGAACATGCGCGATAGACCCGGCTGTTGCTGCCAGGCCACAGGCTGCTCTTCCTCGACTCATCAATACCAGCAACGCCCACACCCAGTCAACCAATAACCACCAGGACAGCAAGTTAAAAGCCGGAGACGCCCACTTCCCGATCTTCTGAAGTCTGCAAGCCGCCGCCGCCCCACCTCCTCCTTCTCGCATGAAGCGTGTTGCCTACTGCCTCTGCCGTCACCAGTGCCTAGGCCCCGGGGGGATCATGCACGCGAGCAAGCGCCGTGCTCAACAGCATCCCGCCCGGGCCTAGGGCGCCAAACATGCTCAATCAATAAACATGCTTAAATCTAATAAGTCTAATGCGTTTTCCTCATGGGTCTCTCCAAGGTGAAATTTATTTAGGCAAGCCTTCTTGATTATATTCTACTTGTTTGCACTGAGAGCCAAAGCACTTTCCTAGTTTGTGACTTCCTGTTGCTCACATGGCAATAAAAGGATTCTGGTTATGAAATTAGACTGTAATCCATAATCATCAACATTATAACAAATGTTTGATAGATGTCAGTATGCATGTCATGTGTCTATATTATACTTTGGTTTCAGATTTTAAGGTAAGCAACAGAATTGAATGAACCGGTGAACAACATTCTCATTTCCCGAGTTTCTCTTTTATACACAAACCCCCAGCACAGAAATAGGAAATGAGGCTGAATGCATTACCCAGTGGCATGCCAATCCCGTAGCCCTTGGTGTCCAGCAAGCCGCCAATTTGAGTCAGGTTGCAGTTGAGGCCTCGGTGGTACTCGTTCATAGTGCTCTCCATCAGAAAGGCGTACTTAGAATTGACCACACGTGCGATTCCCTCCTCTGTGCTTTTCACAAAGACACTGGGCTGCTTGGAGTACATGTAGTTCCACATGCGCTGGTAGGTCTGGTACCTGGAGTTCTGGAGGTTGGGAAAAAACAAAAGAAAAAAAAAAAACTCCATCACAATACAATCAAACATTCTCTCTATGGGTTTCAGAGGGATGACAAATGAGGACTCTTGCCAAGGACGAGAGGTTTTGTTCATGTGATGTCGCAATTTTCAAAAGAGCGTATAGTTTAACATTGTTGTGGAAAGCAGCTGAATAAGATTTCTCTAAATACTTTTGCATGAAGGTGTCTAAAAGGGGAGACAGTGTTCAAAACTTTATGCATGATGTTGGCCAGTAGAAGGGACTCGTAGGGATGAAAGAATAATATTTCCTTTATATCTTTCAAAAAGATGCATCACACCTGCCCTACAACTGAAATGGAGGTCTACATGAATGCACCTATTTATAAACGGTCCTCAAACGTTGCATGTAACAAGAAGCTGGAAGCGATGAATGACTAAAAAGAGATGACAGTGATTCTACACACAAAGATGGCGAATTATGACGAAAGGTCAAACAAGTGATAAGCATCTCTGGGAACTCCTTCAAGACTGTTGGAGTAGAGCCCTGCACGGGCCTATTATCTGGGCCCGAGCCAGGCCCTGGCCCGAGGGGGTGGCGCCCCAGCCCGGCCCGGCCCGATATGGTTTCTCAATTTTCAGGCCCAAAACCTGCATCAAGCCGTCCTTTATTTTTTTTTTTTAACCTCCCATAACAATGTTTTAACGTAGTATATAGTGCCGCGCACTGATATGAACGCAGACTTAGCTAGAGGGCGGAGTTATACATGGTAGTGATGTGTTGCAATGAGTTCTGTGTGTGCGGAGTGGTGCAGAGTGAACATCTGTATGATGCCCAGATGCTGCAACACACCTGTAAGTAATGCTATGTGCCGTCAATGACAACACTACACAGAACAACAAACACTACAGCGTGATAGAACGCTATATTCAGTGGGTGCGTTTGTAAATCTATTCTGCCGCTCTGAAAATGAAGAGCCCGAGCCCGGCCCGTGTCCGAGGTCATTATGCGGTCATCGGCCCGAAGCCCGGCCCTCGGGCTGTCGGGCCGTCGGGGCCCTCGGGCCAAGGGCTCAAGTGCAGGGCTCTATGTTGGAGACCATTTCAGGTCACTACCTCCTGAAGCTCATCAAGAGAACGCCTCTCAGCAAGAAGGTCCTGGGATCGAATCCCGGTCGGACCAGGGCCTTTCTGAGTGGAGTTTGCATGTTCTCCCTGTGTCTGGGTAGGTTTCCTCCGGGTGCAATGGTTTCCCCTACCACTAAAAATATGTCCAATAGTTCTGGCATGCGCCTCCTGTACTGGCGACCCCGCTCCCATGTCTGTGTGGAGTGAGAGACAAATGTCCAAAAGTTAACAATTGTAAACCGCTTTGAGACTCAGATCTGCAGTGAAAAGGCGGTATATAAATAAAGATTACTACTACTTTGAAGAACCTAGAATATAAAACAAATTTTCAGGTTTTTAGGTACGTACATAATTCCACATGAGTTAATTCATAGTTGTGATGCCTTCAGTGTGAATCTACAATTTTCATTATCATGAAAATAAAAAACTATTTGGTCTGTACTGTATTTCTTGTGAATATTTTAAGTTTACTTCCTGTTGTAGCTCACCTGTGTCCCCAGTTTAATGCCCTCTGCTCTTTCCCTCTTGTCTTTCCATTGTGTGATTTCCTCTGGTCCTCTGATACTTTAATTCTGTTTTCTGTGTCCTGGTCTTTGTTTTTTGATTTACTTCATCTAACCACATATTATTTGCAGTTTTTTTTGCAGACAGACGTCATCACTCCAGATACTAATATCGGTCAGAAAAAAAATGTGGGTCAGAAAAAAAATCGCTTCAGTTCTTCAGATAATAATGTTTAGCAGTGATACAGATATAACAGAAGTCCACAGTACAAAATATGCAGGAAATATTGCACCCTGGTTTAAATAAAAAATACATTGAAGTTGAGGTACCTGCTTTTCTTGTCAATCTTACTTATAGCTTTCAAACTCACATCACATGACAATCATTTCACATCACGAGCAGAGCTTCAGAACCCCTTTGCGAGCCAGAAGTGAAGCAGAATGGACCAATCCTTCACAGCCATCATGCGCTCATCCAAAAGCATGGCAGTGACTCACGTGGCTCTCTGTAAAAGTCTTTGGAAATGAGTTCTAATTAGATGAAGACACTGTGTATCAGTCTGTTGTTTTTGGAGAATGGCTGCTTATGCAACAGGGAAAACAGAGAGAAAGTGCTGGGTACTTCAGACTATACAGTAGGAGGTCAAAATTGTGCTACTTGTGTATAGATGAACAAAAATACTATATTATTATGGGTGAGGTTGTGAGACGTTTGAGTAGTTTTTGTGCATTTCTTTATCAAAGCTGGGTATCTAACTTTTTTCTTGTTTCATGAATACATTATTCTGTTTTGATCAAAAGAAAACGTCTTATAAAATAACAAATCTTATGCCTAGCGTACATTGACATGGCAACTGATCATATCGGTCGCATATGAGTTGCTGCCCCACACACATCGACAATCTCGCGAAAACAGGCAACTCCTAGTAGCAGGCCAGTCTCGGGAATAACAGCGCATACATCAACTACAGTGTGTTTTCTGGCATAAAGTGTAGAGGGCGCGCAATACACGCAATACACACATGTTGTTGGAGCGCACCATGGATCTATTAGGAGCGCGCACATCGGGTGATATCTGATGTGCGCGGATCTGAGGACAACTAGTTGCCGAAAAGTAGAACACGGGCAACTGACTGAATCCGGAGATTGACTGTTTATCTCCAGTTGTAAGAGCGCGCACATCGACCGATTTCGGCAACTGATTATCTCCCACCATCTCCTCTCAGTTGCCAAAAGCCCTTACAACTGGAGATGATCAGTCGGTCTCCAGTTTCAGTCAGTTGCCCGCGTTCTACTTTTCGGCAACTAGTTGTCCTCAGTTTCGGAGATATGACCCGATGTGCGCGCTCCATGCGCCGCTCCGACAACGTGTGTGTATTGCGTGTATTGCGAGCCCGCCACAGTTTATGTCAGAAAACACACTGTAGTTGAGGCCAGTTGCTGTCGATGTACGCGCTGTTATTCCCGAGACTGGTCTGCTACTAGGAGTTGCCCGTTTTCATCAGATTGTCGATGTGTGCGGGGCAGCAACTCATATGCGACGGATATAATCAGTTGCCAGTCCGATGTACGCTAAGCTTTAGAAAACATCTTTCCAATAACTGAGTCCTTATTTGACATTTTGGGCTGAGAGCTGATTGGCTGAGGAAGCGTGGCCCTCTCTTTTTCCTCTTATTTCCACAATTATTCTCTGTAAAAAAAGCTGATCTAAAGATGTGACAGAAGCCAACAAAGATATGCATGAGAAAACTATACAGAACAGAGAATTAGCTCGACACAGATCTATTTTTTGAGCTTTACAAGTTTGGTTCCCCTAGCTGCAATCAAAAAAACAAGGGCTTTAAGAAAAAAAAAAAAAAAACAGCTCCAAGAAATATTTTTGGTCCTGAAGGGAAAAAAAATCAACAAGTTGCTGCTGCTGCATAATTGCCTGAAGAGTTGGTAAATACTGTAAGTGGAAGGGGAAGGTGAAATCAGACAACAGGATTAAAGGTTTAAAAGGGAAATTACAGGTTTGGTTTTTGAATAAAGCAATGCAGCAAATAGACACGTCGGAGTCGTCTGGAAGCAGGAGTGCCTGGTGGATTAGCGCTGAGTGGCGGAGAGGTACTGTTGCTCTGCGTGGCTTATGTAGACAAACACCGACCACCTCTTCTATCGTTGCCGTGGACAAACAGCCCGACAACGCATAAACAAACAAGGCCCCCGGATTGGAACGCCGCCATTTCCCCGGTAACGGCCCCGAGTAAACACAACACATTTTTTAAAACACTCACTTCCATGCATCCACACTAAAGTACACAGACAATACACACACACACACACACACACACACACACAAACATATTTCAAGCAACACACACACACACACATGCTAAAATGAACTCACACATGCTAAAACCAACACATACATGGAAAACGAAAACACATACATCCACAGACACACACGCATCCACACAAGTACACAAGCAATACACACACACACACACACACAACAAGCAACACACACAGACACATGCTAAAATCCACTCACACATATACATCCACACACACACACACACACACTCACCCACACGCACCCACACACAGACATATACACATAAAAAACGTGCACACACTAAAATCAACATGAATACACTGACACCTACACACTCAAGCCAACACGCACACACACACAAACATGCTAAAACCAACACTAGTACATGCGGACAGACACACGCACACACAAACACACAAGCACCAACCCACGGGCTCACACTAGAACCAACATGCTCATACACACACACACAATAAAACCAACTTACAGACAAACATGCACACCTGCTCTCACACACATATGCACGCCCACAGGCTCACACTAAAACCAACAAAAACTCATACACACACACACACACACACACACACACTGGCACTCGGTGACAAACACAGATGCCGACACAGATGCCAGAAGCCCTCTCAGATGCAAACAAAGGGAGTCAGCCACTTAAAACCAGCACCAGCAGTCACAACCAACTCATGCTACCTGCAAGCACACGACCGCAATCAAGATGGATTTAAATGTAAGAGAACATTTACTTGATACAGTTAAAGGTCAGTTGTAAAAGAATTTCAGGCACATTTAGACCAGGAACTGTCCGTGGTGCTTGGTCCATGTTATACTGGTTAGTGCATATTCTCTGTGTGGTCAGACCATAGGCTTAGAAAGACTTGTAGATTTCCAGCTAATTAAAAAAACTATAAAACGACAAAGGAGAAACCAATTACCTGACATGCAACTACAATCTAGAATACCGAACTTTTTGTGTTTCATGAATACATTGTGTTTGTCCCAACAGAATGAGTAGCATTTTGTGAACTAGAGACCACAACATACTGTCTTTACCTTTGTATTTACTGAAAGCTGAGCGAGGTCTGGAGCTCTGAAGTCACTGAAAAGTAGGGGTGGGAACCTCAGGGTACCTCACGATACGATACGATACGCGATACAAAGCTGACGATAACGATTATATCACGATAACGATTATAACACGATATGACGATTATCGATATATATTGGTCAGAAATATATCACAATCACACTCCTACTGAAAAGGCTGATCTAAAGATATTATTATTTTAGTTATTTATGAGAAAGTATGGGACCAAACAGTTTTGAGAGCAAGGAACTATTGATACAGGATTTTATAACAAAGTGGTACTATAGCTTTACTCTCATCAAAGACTGGGTTTGCCACTTAAGGCAAAATGAAACAACGAAGAATGTTTAACACACGACGCCCAAGGCTTTCCATAAATTATTGTTGCTGCAAAGATTAGTTTTTGTTCAATTTGACTTTAACTTTGCTAAATTTTACAGAGAACAGAGTTAAGCAAACACTGTGGAAGTTGGCAGCGCAGCCTACAGCTTTAGTTAATTGGCTAATAAATTGAGTCTTATGTTTAGTGATGCTTAGATAATAAATTCAACACTTAGTAGTAGAGATAAAAAGCTCAGTATGTTACACCTTTAAATCCCCAGTACGTAACATTTTGGAGAGACAAAGTAAACCTATTGGCTCAGTATGTGGCCATAACCATTCTTTTGATTTGGGATTAAAATTAAGAGATTTCAGTGTTGCATCAGCGGTTATAGAACAGTAGGAATGAGGAGCACACAACACAAGATAAATAACTAACTCTGGACAAAAATAAAAAATCAAATGCAATTAAGTCTCTCCACGGTGGCAGAGTGGATAGCACTCTCGCCTCTCAGCAAGAAGGTCCTGGGTTCGAATCCCGGTCGGACCAGGGCCTTTCTGAGTGGAGTTTGCATGTTCTCCCCGTGTGTGCGTAGGTTTCCTCCGGGTACTCCGGTTTCCCCTACCACTAAAAATATGTACAATAGGTCTGGCATGTGCCTCCTGTTTGGCGACCCCGCTCCCATCTCTGTGTGGAGTGAGAGGACAAGTGCCCAAAAAATTACAATTGTAAACCGCTTTGTGACTCTGGTCTGTGAAAGGCGGTATATAAATAAAGATTACTTACTTACTCTAACTTTAGCATTCAAAAGAGGCAAGTATAACATGGCTAGCTTTAGGATAAAAAGGAAACAAGTCTATAATATCCAACTTTAGCATAATGAACATGTAAGAATTAAGTACAAAATCTCTGACTTTAGCATTATAAAGAATTAAGAATAAAATCTCTCGGCATAAACAAGTGCCACAATACTTCAGAGAATGTCCCATAGTATGTTTTTTACATTTTATTTCCATGTGATTGAGCAGGTTATTCTACACATCCAGAAATATTGCACACTCACGATCCAGTCTTGTGTGTGGAAGCAGTTTTGTTTTTGACATTTTAGTGCCATAAAAACCCGTTTTTCTTTTATGTGTGGGAGCAGTAGAGTGGTGGGAAAAACGAACGAGCTTTCAACAATAAACAGCAGCGTAAAATCTTTCACGAGTAAAAAGCCGTACCATAAAGAAAGTCATGGTGCTGCCGCCGTGAATGGTTCCGTACTCGATGTTGGTCTGATCGGCCAGGTCATCCGGGGACTCGATGGGCACCTCCATCCTCTGCACCGTGAGGAAGGCTGCCAGGTTGGCCGTGTAGGAGGAGATGATGATGAGTGTGAACGCCCACCTGTGTGTGGCGGAGACAGATCACATGACATTTGCACCGCCGGCACCAGCATTTTTCACCAAAATGAGACGCTTAAGTGACCTTGTGTGGAGATTAAAATGTGATCCCTGGACTTAGCCTCGGTGGGAGTCATTTCTCTGTCCTGCCTTTAACAGTGTGAGTCCAGATAACCTTAACCTCGCACTTCATTTCAAACATATTGTAGCGAGATTTACCTGACACAAGCTTTTCAGTGTTCACGCACACACAAACACACACTAAAACCAACACGCATACATGCACACAAACAGACACACACACATACACAAACACATTAAAACCAACACATATACATGCACACAAACATACACTAAAACCAACACACATACATGCACACAGACACACACATACACAAACACACACTAAAACCAGCACACATACATGCACGCAAACAAACACACACACACACACACACACTCAAACATACACTAATACCAACACACATACATGCACACAAACAGACACACAGGCCCAGACTAAAACCAACACACATACACATACATACACGCACACACACATACACAACACATACACACAAACACCCACAGACAACACTAACACCAACACGCACACAAGCACAAACACACACACACACACACTAAAACAAACATTGTACATACATGCACGCACTCACACGCCCGCAGGCCCACGCTAAAATCAACACACATGCACACACACAATACGCACACATAAACACCCACAGCCAACACTAAAACCAATACAAGCACAAACAAACACACGCACACACACTAAAACCAACACACATTAATGCACACAAACACACACAAGCACAAACATACACACGCACACACACTAAAACCCACACACATTAATGCACACAAACACACACAAGCACAAACATACAAACCCACACACACTAAAACCAACACACATAAATGCACACAAACACACACAAGCACAAACATACAAACCCACACACACTAAAACCAACACACATAAATGCACACAAACACACACAAGCACAAACATACAAACCCACACACTAAAACCAACACACATACATGCACACAAAGGCACACCCTTAGGCCAACACTTGAACCAACATAAACTAAAACCCACACAGATACATGCACACAAACACAACCACACAAGCACAAACACACACATACACACGCACACACACACTAAAACCAACACACCCTAGGCCAACACTAGAACCAACATACACTAAAACCCACACAGATACATGCACACAAACACAACCACACACACACACACACGCACTAAAACCAACACACACACATGCACACACACACACAGACATACACCCACACACACACTCATGAACACAGAGTAGCCTACACAATACAGTGTGAATCCTAATGTTTATGCATAAGTAGACTATTCATTTAAATTCATTTAAACCCGACTGCAAATGGAGATAATAAAGAAACCTTGAAAACTGTATAATCATTAAAAATTCAACCAACCAGAGCTGGCAATCTTTACAATATTAATAATTGAAAATCTGACAAAAATGTATTTTGATATAAAAGAGCATGCAGCAGTGAGATCCAGTGCTGAAGTTCTTCGATTCATTTTCACCCAATTTATTGTGAGACAATTAAGAGGCACATGGATGATGCAAAACAGAAATAAGAATATCATCATGTTCTCTCGGCTCAGACTTAACAGGATAAAACAAAAAAGATGCTAATAAGATGGTGGCTACAAGGTGGAAGCCCCTTTACTCATTGTCTCGCTGAAAGTGGGCCATACAACTTATAGAGATACCCATGGTGATAGAGAGAATATAATACATGTTATTTGTGAGTTTCTTCGATTTATTTTCGATTATTTTGTTATTTTATTTTTGTACAGATTGTGTGTGTGTGCTAGTGTGTGTTATTGTTTGTAATAACCATGTATGTCATTCTAAACACATTGATAAATCCAGAACTAAACCTGTAAAAGAGAAATACTGATGTTGACTCACCACACACCGCTGACACATCTAGTGGACAGAGCTCTGGGCATGATCTCTGATCCCTGCTGCATGAAGCCTCCCACTGGGAACCACAAGCTGTTGCCCAGAGTGTACTGGTTCTCCAGCATGTCCCTGCGCTCCCGGAGACACGGGTGAGGGTTGTACCACTCATACGGGCTTAACCTGTCACCAAATGGGAGCACAGCAAAGAGGCCTCAAGGTCAAAGAGCCGCACAGTTCATGTATTACTCTGTCATATACTTCCAGCTATCACCGATCAGTCATTGAATTGCTGTCAAAACTGTCTACAAGGTTATGTGAGGTAAAAAAATCGTAGTGTATGACAGGTGGCGTGTGCTCAATAAGACAAATGGTGATGGTGGCCAGATGTGCATACTGTCACTATAGTGAGATGTAATGTATTGACCTTGCAGCGAGGAAGAGCACACAGCTGACAGCCAAGTAGGCGAGCAGCATGAAGAGCCAGACAGCGGGGGAGAACGGGTCGAGAAAGGAGAAGTAACCCGGCTTCCGTCCCTGCGAAAAGAGAGATGTGGTAATCACGAGTCATAAACCTCTGGTGCTGGGATGCAGTCTGAGCGTGCACACTTGACACCACAGGAGGGCAGCGTCCCTTATTTAGTCTGTTCAAACATTGAGCCTGCAGTCCTTTTGAGAAGCTAATGCAACAATCCATATTCGCTCTGTTCACAATGCCGACTGCCGACGCGAACTTGGCTCGGGCCCAGAAGCTCATTAGCAATGTAAAGCTGTCACTGTTACCCAGTTACACTGCACTGGCTTATCGAGCAATTGAAATTACACCTATAAATATCAGAGAGGACAAAGTGGAGGCAAGAAGGCAAGCAAATACCTCAAAATAAAGCGTCTGCAGAAAAAGTGGTACTGCCGTTAAACTCGATCTCAGTTAAGTGAAATTCAAAGTATGTGGCAGGGCAAAAGACGCAGCCTCACCATATGAACGCGATACAAGATGCTGATCCCCAGGGTCATGAACGGCTTAGAGAAGTCGATAACTTTCTCTCGCTCCGACGTGATGGTGAAGCTCGCCACGGCCAGGTCGGCTTTCTGCAGGTTTGATAGAGATAGAAGTAGGAGATTGACACATAATTGTAGGTTGGAGGAGAAGATGCAGTGGGAAGAGATTGGAGGGTGTCAGATTTTTCCAAATCAGCAAGACACAAATTTTAGTCTTAGTAATTTTAGTTCAGTAGAAAAGCCAATGTTAAAAGGAATTAAGTAAAAAAATACAGTTGTACTTGAAAGTCTCATAGTTTCATTGATATGTCATGATATGTTTTGCTGGATAAGGTCATCAGGAAGTCCAGCTCAGTCCTGGGCTGTTCCTTGGACACAGTGCAGCAGGGAGACAGGAGGGTCCTGAGCAAACTAACATCTATGCTGGACCATGACTGTCACCCCCTGCAGGACACTCTCTCTGCTCTGGAGAGCAGCTTCAGTGACAGACTAATTCACCCTCGATGTGTGAAGGAGAGGTTTCGCAGGTCTTTCCTTCCTGCTGCTGTCAGACTGTACAACGAGAATGTGTAACAGGAACTGCTGAGTCTGCACAAGTGTTTCTGATAATTCACTAGTAACTTTGTCACTAGTCACTTTACTTGTTATCAGTGCTACTACAGTACTACATATCTGATATTTACTGTTATCAGTACTACTGTATTATTACATATCTGATAATTCTGCCTTCCACCGTCACGTTACCTGTTGATATCTTACTGTATTATTCATATCCATCTGATAATTCTCCCATTCAAGTCACTTTACCTGTTGATATTATTTCTGATGTTTATTCTGCTTATATTTATATTCTCATATTCTCTGCTGCTAATGTATAATATAGACATCTGTAAATACTCCGAACCAAGTGCAATTATAGCCCAGAGTTTCTTATTTTATTTTATTTTATCTTAAATTTATTGTCTATTATCTTAAATAATAGACTTTGATGTGTGCAATCTGAGTGCTCTTATTTCCTTTCTCTGCTGTAATGTGCAACGATGACACTGACATTTCTCCACTGTGAGACTAATAAAGGTTTATCTTATCTTATCTTATCTTATCTTATGTTTTGAAGATAATGAATGATAGTAGGATAACTTTTGGTCACTCATTGTTAGTGGTTGTGGTGCCCAGACATGTACAAGAACAGGAGGCTTTTAGCTGAGAAGGGGTTGCTTTACCATCAGAGACGATAAAGAACCTCATCCTCAACGACCACAAAAGACTCCAAACTGTCATAGAGGATAAAGGGGAAATACACAATTGAAAACTGGGGGAGGACCCTTGATTCTAATCGCAAGTCAGAAGAGTTTAAACATATATAACCAATTAAATTGGGTTTTTTTTCATTCATAATTAACAAAATATGGCCACAGATTTACATTTCTGTGCTTTCAAATGTGTACATTTTAAAGCACAGAAATTGTCCTAAGAGTCTAAACTATCTCTCTTATCCTCTTGGCTAGGAAACATTGCCATTGTTAGGTAGATTAGGTTTTCAATTTAAAAAGGAGAGTTGGCGAAACAGGGACACACAAGATAGAAAAATAACATAGCAATGTGAAAATTCTTGACAAATGAATGTGTTCTGGTACTGAGCGAACTAATGGACATTTGGATGATTAAGAGCCTGCACTCTTGCACTCAACTTCTAGTTCAACCACCAACAGAATGTGGCTAATAAGCAATGGGCTGCTGGTCTTTGCACCTGCTTAAAACCTGGTGGGTCTCTGGTCGCTCTGTTGCCCCTCCAACTCTTCCATTAAAAGCTAATTGATGAACATGGGCTGCTAATTACAAATGAGTGAAGAGGCAATGGGGAGGGCAAGCAGGACTAGGGGAGCACACCAGCGAAGTGGACCCCACATAGGGAATGCGGTTTGGTAATTGAAGTATACCATATGGTAATTAGGCAGAAAGGGGCTCTCATTAGCCTGTTTCAACAGTGCCTGTCAGCGGAGCAATAGGCCTGGATGGGGAAAAGAAGCAGGCTGGGATATGCTCAAAGCAACTTAAAAAGATAGCGCAGACAGTTTTCAGAAATGCTACCACTCTCTTATGGGGGAATTATCAAGTCAGCTTTTGTCCAACTAAGATCCTAACTCCCTTGTGAGGACTATCTGAAACATGGGAAGTTACAGAACAGTTGTGGTTTGGGGCTAAAGCACCGGTGTGTGTGAAGATCTGTGACAACGTAATCTTCTTCTACTGTAACAATTGTCACTATTAAATCCGTAACTAAGGAAAAAGAAAATGCCCTTGACAAAGATGTTTCAATAGGAAAATGTTCCAACATGTAAAGGTGAGGCAAAGGGGTTATTTAAAGTAGAAGTTTGTGATCAAATCTTCTGTGGAGACATGGCAAACTACGACAAATTTGATGAAATGTCAAAAGTTGGATTCCAACCACATTTACAAGAGCCAAATCCTTGATCTTGTATTGTATGCAGTGAGAGCAGAGTGCTGCTCAGGTCAGAAACATGCAAAACATCCATTATTGTCACGTAACCTGCGTGATCTGAGTCTAATAGAAAATCTTTGTAAGCAGTGCTTGGTTTTGAAACTGCAGCTGAATAGATTAGAAATAGTATTATGTAATATTTCAACAAATTACCAAAGTGTTAAAGAGAGATCATTAGAGTTAGCTAGATATGCATTAATTCCCTTGCTAAATTAATTTGAAATTGTTAGTATGTCTGGCTCTCTTACTAGTTATGCGCTAATATAGTCAAAACAAGTCACACCTTTTCATTAAAAAATAACAATATTATCCATCATCCATTTTTATGACTTTAAACTTTAAACTTGGAAATGAATCACGTACATTTTGTCGGTGAGACGTCTGATCTTTTCGTACATTCATTATTTATTCCCGTAAATGCATACATTTGCCGTTGACAAAGCAGTGTGTTCTTGTATATTTTCTCATGAATAGCAAGTGGCTTGTCATTAAAGCCGAAAGCCAAAGAAGGTGTTTTTCTGACCACGGACTGGGACTGGCCCGTCTGACTGCATGTGTCGGCGATAAGACAGCACCTTGGACAGCTCATTTGTGTACGTTTATGTCTTTCTAATGAGCGAGTGTGAGGGGGAGATAGGAACCATACACACCCGGTTGATCAGCTCTCCCACCATGCCGGTCCAAGAACCATTGGGCTCGGGGGCACCGTACAGCCCGTCATCCACCAGCTTGATCTTGAAGGAGAACTTAAGCATGTCCGCCACCTCCCTCAGCATGTCCACGCAGAAGCCTTCGTACTGGTCATTGCCCTGGAACTCCTGGTAGTTGTCTTTGCGCATCATATAGGGGTTTTCCTAAACAGAGGGAGTTCATGACCTGATTCAGTCCAGTGAATAATATTGCCAAAGACATAAAGATATCTGTGGCACAAGAAATTAGATAAAAGTGCCCACAAGCAAAATGGCAGCAGAGAAAGAAGAAAATATACTGGTGAAACGTGACAAATTAGAATGCCGTTCAAAAGCCAATTTTCTTCTGTATATTAAATTACACTGTGAAACTATTAATGAATACTGAAGCCACAGTATTACCCTTAATGCAGAAGAAGCCCATTTGAACATAGGCTAGCTGGAGCCATTTCCTTATATGGGTGTTTGCTCTGGCGCTGTTAGCTAAGCGCCATAACAGTCAATATGAGACAGATAAGATAAGATATGCTTTATTTATCTCACAAAGGAGAAATACACTTTCCTATTGGGCTACATTGAGCTATAGGGAGCTAGCATTGTCCAGCAAAATACACTCTATTCCCAGTAAACGCAAAGTGAGATTGATCAAGTCTTTATTTTTTTATAATGTTGATAATTGGCTCACACTTGTATAATCCCCAAATACAACATATCATGAACTGTAAACCATAAGTATAACAAACACATTGGTTCACATTTTAAGCTGAATTACAAAACTAAATGAGCTTTTGTACGGTATTCTAAAAGTTCCAGCTGTATGTATGCTAACTTTATGACAGAACACACAATAAAACATAACTCAACTCTGTGTAACACATGCGTAAGCCAGAGAGAAGATGAGCAAAAATGTATTAATGATTCCAACCAATCACACATTCATTTATTATTTCATTCGGCAACGCAATGTTATGTTATTGGCAGAAGTGATGCAGACTAAATGGTTTTGTATTTAGCCCTGCAAAGCCAAATGAATTGAACAATTATGTCCGCAGAGGTATTATATTGATTGAGTAAGTGTGTTTCATTGGGCATCGACTCAATGAACACATCCAATGATCCATAAACACAGAAAGCCGGGGATAAGAACAGCCAGTTTTGTTGATCAAATGCTTCAGTTACAACAACCTCCACAGCCTGACCTTGCGAGTAGAATTGATTTTGTCATTTATAGCCAACAGATGATTCAATATGCAGAGCAGAGTCACTGGAAGGAATTTATTCAGACATGGTCAAAAGCTGATTTAACTTTAAGGCTGCAATGTCTTTCATCCTCTTCTGTGTGTTTGTGTGTCATACTTATGGGCATGTGCAAGTGTCTGGATGGTGGGACGAAGGCAGAGCAACATGAGAGAGCTCTCAATAGTAGATTATCCACAATAAAGCCGGGGGACCTAACTTTGAAACCATACAAATTAAACTAAAATCCATGTCACTATGAACTGCTCAAAACGGATGGTTCTAGAGACTTTTTTTCACATACAGCATATGTCACACCTGTCAAATCAGCGTTTTCAGAGAAAAAGAGAACCAGCCAATCAACTCTCAGTATGTTAAAGACAACATGTTTTCTAATAAGACAAAGACAGCTTGTAGTGGTCCGACTTGTTCACAATATGTTACTTAAGCAAGACTCTTGGGACAAAAAAATTAGACAAGCAAAACATGTAGGTACTCCAGCTTTCGCAAAATAATTCAACCGTAATTCAAATGTTAATCGGAGAACACATTATACATATACATTATCAACACACATGCACAGAGGTTTTCAGAATAATTTGTTAACATTTTCATGACAAAAACAATGTTTTAACCCTTTAGGCGCCAGAGTTTTTTCAAGAAAATATACAATTTTGATTTCAAGATTTCAAAAGGCTATAACTTTAAAATGGTTTGAGATAAAGGCATACTGTAAATTAGAAATATCTTCAGTTTGAACCAAACTTTGGGATGGAAGTTGATTCTTCATCTAATTTGCATATTGTGACGTCATCAAGGTGGCGGCCATTTTGGAAAATGTTAATTATTGTATAAAGACTTCAAAAAGCTGTAGCTTGGGAGTTATTTGAGATCAGGGAATACTATAAACAGTCAATGTGAAATATCTTTAGTATGAAATGAATTTGGGATAGAAATAAATTCCCTGATCCAGATTATAGATAATGTTTTAGCACTGGTTCGCGGCCATATGGAAACCAGGAAGTAGCTATTAACATGAATTGAACATTATTTTACACATCTGCAGAGGATCTGATTATGGATATAGGTTCAGTATATAAATGATTATGGATATAGGTTCAGTATATAAATGATTATGGATATAGGTTCAGTATATAAATGATTATGGATATAGGTTCAGTGTATAAATTATTATGGATATAGGTTCAGTATATAAATGATTATGGATATAGGTTCAGTATATAAATGATTATGGATATAGGTTCAGTGTATAAATTATTATGGATATAGGTTCAGTATATAAATGATTAAGGATATAGGTTCAGTGTATAAATGATTATGGATATAGGTTCAGTATATAAATGATTATGGATATAGGTTTAGTATATAAATGATTATGGATATAGGTTTAGTATATAAATGATTATGGATATAGGTTCAGTATATACTGTAAATGATTATGGATATAGGTTCAGTGTATAAATGATTATGGATATAGGTTCAGTGTATAAATGATTATGGATATAGGTTCAGTGTATAAATGATTATGGATATAGGTTCCGTATATACAGTAAATGGGTAACTCAGCGCGGATGTTCAGAATTCTCTGTTCAGTTTTCATGTAGTTATTTCTCATCCTAATTTGCCATGTCATTATCTCCTGGTCCAAACATTTTCCAACCTTGTGACCTGGTGATAGTTTTTCAATTTGTATGTGCATGAATAGCCCTGTTAATGTGTGTCAATTGTATACGTTTATAATACAGTATCCACTGACAGATTGCTCATCCAGTGTATTCATATATTCCATAAACAAGGGAAAATGTAATGCAATCATATTCAAAAGTCAGAAATGAAATATCTTCATTCCCCGTCTCAGTCCTGGGCTGTTCCTTGGACACAGTGCAGCAGGGGGACAGGAGGGTCCTGAGCAAACTAACATCTATGCTGGACCATGACTGTCACCCCCTGCAGGACACTCTCTCTGCTCTGGAGAGCAGCTTCAGTGACAGACTAATTCACCCTGGATGTGTGAAGGAGAGGTTTCGCAGGTCTTTCCTTCCTGCTGCTGTCAGACTGTACAATGAGAATGTGTAACAGGAACTGCTGAGTCTGCACAAGTGTTTCTGATAATTCACTAGTAACTTTGTCACTAGTCACTTTACCTGTTATCAGTACTACCACAGTACTACATATCTGATATTTACTGTTATCAGTACTACTGTATTATTACATATCTGATAATTCTGCCTTCCACCGTCACTTTACCTGTTGATATCTTACTGTATTATTCATATCCATCTGATAATTCTCCCATTCAAGTCACTTTACCTGTTGATATTATTTCTGATGTTTATTCTGCTTATATTTATATTCTCATATTCTCCGCTGCTAATGTATAATAAAGACATCTGTAAATACTCCAAACCAAGTGCAATTGTAGCCCAGATTTTCTTATTTTATTTTTATTTTGATCTTAAATTTATTGTCTATTATCTTAAATAATAGACTTTGATGTGTGCAATCTGAGTGCTCTTATTTCCTTTCTCTGCTGTAATGTGCAACGATGACACTGAAATTTCTCCACTGTGAGACTAATAAAGGTTTATCTTATCTTATCTTACTGCAGTGACAGCAAAACTGGCTGCAACACTCCACACTCCAGCACAGTGCGCAGATCACAAGTGTGACCTTACCAGTATGGTGGTAACAATGAGGGTCTTGTTCGCCAGCGTCTCCGAGACATTAATATCCAGACTGGTGGAATTCATTGCCAGCGTGTTGTTGGAGTACCAGATTCCGATCTGACACAAGGGGAAGAACAAAGGGGAAATCAATGGCTATTGTCACATAAATAATGTAGTGGCGAGGTCTAAATTCACTTCATCTGTCCCCTGTATCTGTATCGTGTCTATTGAGTACTCTTAAAGGAGCAGGTTTACAAAAGTCATAAAAGAGGCTTTGTGTTTCTCCTATTGTAGCACATGCAATAGAATCCAATTATTCTCTATGGAGCTATTCAGGGACATTGATGACTATGATAAAATATATGAGGGCAGCAGGGCAAGGCAGCAAAAAGTAAGATTAATTATTATATTTCGATGTCTTATTATTATGATCCAGTCTTAAAATGCATTTAACAGCTCACGTTTCTCTTTCACCAGTCTCTTAACTACCTCAGTGATTATTACGGCTCAGGAAAGGTGGAGGGAAGATAGGTGTGCTCACAGTGTTAGAGATAATACGATCTGTCTTTCAGTAGGTCAGAAAGAAGGTAATGGCTCCTCAGACAGAATCACCCTTTTTATATGACTGTCTTTTCCTGCCCTGACATTTAAGAGTGGTCGTCAGCGCGGTCTCTGCCACTGCTACTACTGCTGCTACTGCTGCTACTGCTGCTGAGAAGAAAGAGGCCTCGAGTGAAAATGTTAATTATCACAAGCTAACGTAGATTTAGATCAAGATTTAAGTACGGTTTTAAGATGGCATTTATAGTTAACACTGCCGCTGTTGGCCTACACCGGTAAAGAGCCCACAAAGACATTAGGAGATTAGGGGGAGGTGACGTCGCAGTGTGTCCCTCAATGTCATTGAACCGAGGCACTATTCCCCCAATCTGGGAGCGCACTCATGTGTGGGTTCAGGCGTCATTACTTCCTGACTTTCAAATACAGGTTAAATGCAGGGTTTTTATCCAATGCATTTCACATTACAGCTAGCTGAAGAAAAGTAAAAAGCTTGTAAATGTGCCTGCTGTTTCATGTAATGAGTGTGTAACTTTTTTCATTTACAACCAATATAATGAGTAAGTCTTATTTTGTATTGTGTAGATATAGGTCAAATCTGCACCGGACCCAATAACCAGCATCGTTTACCAGCATGTGGGTGGGTGAAGTGTCTTTGCTTAAGGGCACAACGGCTTCTACGTCAGACACATCACACATCAGATAACCTACAATTCAAAGAGTGGATGGAGAAGAGGTTAAAGCTCTTTCCTCACAATAAGCACGTACTGGGTTCGACTCCCGGGGGCGAAGTTGGTTATTTCTGTGTGGAGTTTGCATAATCTCCCTGCGTCTGTGAAGGTTTCCCATTCACCAAAAACTAAGGTTCTGGTAGATTTACAGCAGTAGCAGCTTATGACACTCTCCCATAAATTGAACATATTCAACATGTTTATTAACTTCCCAGAACATGCATCATCTGCAGTAAAAACAAATCTATATTGCAGTCAGGACCAAGGAGGTTACACGCTTGTGAACGGCGGAGGTGCAATGTATAATCTCATGACATGATCAGAATGTAAAAATGTTTCCATAATAATATCAGTGCATTCTGTGTCGGATCCACAGGGAGAATACAGAACATGGAGAGAAGACGATACACTTTTATTACAGCATGTTATTTTCAAGGTCTCGTGAAATCCTGTTGAGACACAAAGACGTTATTACTTTAGTGGTGTACAAATCATGTCCAGTGCTGAGAAGAATATTGTATATCGATATAATTACAACACTACACTTACAATTGTTAAGTTCTCGTCATTATTAATTAGAGTCCTGACTAGAACAAGGAAGTACGACGACATTAGTCCAGTTCTCAGGTCTCTGCACTGGGTTCATGTGGCTCAGAGAATAGACTCCTAAACATCTGAGACATGTTTGTGCCAAATGAACCAACCTCCTGCTGGTCCCAGAGCCAGGACAAAAACAAGCGGAGGCAGCATTTCAGATTTATGCAGCTAAAATCTGGAACTGTCTTCCTGAAAATGTGAGACAGGCTTCTAGTCTGACAATGTTCAAATCCAGGTTGTAAACAGTTCTGTTCGATGTTCATTTATTTATGGTTTCAATTCCTTGTATGATAATTTTTCTAATCTTGTTTTAAAGATGCTATACCCATCCATCCATCCATCCATTTTCTGCCCTTTAATCCATTTCTGGGTCAGGGGGGTGGCAGTCAGAGATGCCACCCAAGTCTCATAGCACCAGCCCCTCACTGACCCTCTGCAGGTGGTGAGTCCACAGGAGGACAGCTGCTCTCTGAGTGTGAGCATAGCCTTGATCTTTCAGTGGGGGCTTTTGGGCAAAGTGGGGTTAAGTGTCTTGCCCAAGGACACAACAACAGCAGATGCTATACCCTATTCATAAAAATGCTTCTTACAACATACAAGTTGTATTATAATCTGTCATTTAATTGAAAACTTGAGCTAATTGATTCAGCTTGTGAATGATTTCAGGTCATACAGTATAAAAGTGCTGAGTATAGACTTTAGCGTGACGCCCGCTCTCCTCCACTCACAGAACGAGGCTGCGTCCTCTAGCCTCTACAGCGCTGATAAACACAGTAGCATGTTAGCAGAATTGGCTATAACTCCTATGGCTGTAACTGCAGACACAGCAAAACAGCCCAAACGACACAACAGTGAGGAAGAGAAGACGGAATTAAAGCCAAAAAATGATCAAAGAAGAAATCAAGCCCGGGTGAACATAGCTAACTTACATCGGATCCTCTGGAGAGACTTGTCTATGGGAGAGACTTGTCTATGGGAGAGACCTGCGGGACTGCCTCGGACTACATTCGGACACAGAACTAGTGCTAAAAATTCCAACCTTGCATAAACGGGTATAGCTCCTTTAATAAGAACTTTGAGTTGCCTTGTGTATGTGCTATACAAATTCAACTTGAGAGAACTTGAGATAATCATGTGAATATGATGAATTAATATGGTATTATGGAATATTCTTTGCGATAATGTATAACACGGCTGTAAAAACACTGTTATTTATGACTTAACCATTGCAAGATTTAAAGTGCTAATGGTAATCAGTGCTACCACTAGTTGTGACTATTATTTATTGATGAATAAACACATTTTCTGTATTTCAATTCAATTCAATTCAATTTATGCTTATATAGCCCTAAATCACAACAGTAGTATCTCAGAGGACATAACAAAACACAAAAAATGAAATACAGTAAATAAAATGGCAAAGCTTTTTCCCTAGAATATTTTATAATTTCGTCTTAGCCTATAAAAAATACAAGACTTGCACTTTCCAGGCATCTTTATAAACAGCAGTGATATTTGGTTGATGTCACGGTGAGGATGCCACGTTGACCCCAGAGTTAAACGTCTCCTGTGGCTCCATAGACTCACACGAGGCGATCCTGGCCCCGAGCCTGTGGAGCTGAGACCTGCTGCTGAGTGATAACAGGTGGCTGCTGACCTCTTTGTGGCCTCTGCGGTGCTTCTCCAGGATCCGCAGGGTGTAGTTGGTCCTCTGGCCTTTGCTGTTGAACTCCACGCGGCCTGTCAGACCGTCGTACTCCACCTGCAAAACCAGGGAACAGTGAGGAGGAGGAGGAGGAGAGCACTGCTGAGGAAGAGGCAGGTGGGAAGAATGGTAATCTGAGCACAATCATCATGTGTTTTTCTTACTTCATTCTAAACGAAACAGTGAGCAGCACTGAGCTGTGTTTTCATTTATTTTTCTCCCTGAAGCCCCTCGTTCTTACCCTCTCCCTTCCATAGTCAAATGCAAATTTAGTTTATCATATCATAAACATTCCAAGCCCCTTTTTCAGCCAATTAACATTTGACTTATTATTTTACCAAACATTATTAGATATGTTTGTTTGCTTTAATGTTCAATTTCCATTAGGATTTCAAAAATATAATTTTGTTATTCATGAAAACATTCAGGAGAAGTCATATGGGAATTATGTTAATCAGGCTGAAGTGGGAAAAATGCATTATACACTCTATAACACCCAATGGAAATTCTTATCATATGCCTAATTTCACCTCATCATTATCAACTACATAGTTAGTATGTGTTTAAAATAATGTATAAAACAAATAACATAACACTGTCTCCTGTCTGTCTTCAGTCAATGAACATACTATTACTATAAACAACTGCAGAGCAGCATTAGAATGCACAGACGACGGTGGGTGGAAAACAGAAAAAATCACCGGGCATTTACCGTTGCCCTTTAAAACGCTGATTTGCAGCAATTTTCATTTTAGATATTTCTGGCCGTTAAGCAACAATTACAGTATAGCATTACACAATACTTCAAAAAAAGTATTGCATTTAAAAAATGAAGAATACTTGATGGTTCCAGCACTGTGTGAGACCTTTTCACTGTGTTTTAGAGGCATATACATGGAGAGAACATGCAAACTCCATCGGGTAAGTCCTTAACCATCGTCTGACAGCAGCTGTTATGTCTAATTTGCCCCAAACTAACCTACGTTTAGGGTCTCCTTGTGTGACTCTGCTGTAAGCGTTGCAATGAGAATAGGACCAAATTGATTAAACTATTTCATTACAAAATCAGTAAATTTTTATAATTACTTAACGCTAGAGCTGTTCCCGCTCTGTTATTATCAAAATGATGTTATGCATAGAGTTTTTTACTATAATTACTACTGAAATACCGTACGTGGAAAGTAACGGTAATCATTAGTGATGCAGCTGCGGTTGAGTACACTTAGTTTACATAAAGATATATATAGACCTTTACATATGAAGATTTTTTCTGAATTTTGCAAATACCTTATAGTGAATCCTCAAAAGTTAGCCTATTTAGGATTTGACTGGTTGGGAAATAACTGTTGCTAGAACTGGCATATTTACTGTAGAATAATAAAGGCCAGAAGAATCTTGCCCAGTTTTGAAACATTGGCAAATTTGATAGACTGTAATTGTACATACATTAGACATGGTTCTTACTTAGCATCTAAAGAGGAGCCAAAGCTTACACAACAGTTATGTAGAGCATAGGATAGAAGTAGAAAAAAACCAACACCAGGTTATAGGAAAAACTGCTAATTTCCACCTGCAGTTCCTTAGCAGGTTGGCACAATTATTATGTCATGTCATGTCATTTTCTTCCCCTTTATGAATCCATTTCTGGGTCGGGGGGGTGGCAATCAGAGCTGCCACCCAAGTCTCAAAGCACCAATTAATTGTTATTATTATTATTATTATTATTATTAGGGGTGCAAACCTAAGGGTACCTCACGATACGATACGATACACGATACAAAGCTCACGATAACGATTTTATCACGATATGACGATTATCGATATATTGGTCAGAAATATACAATATGCCAATTTATGGCATAAATAAAAGAAAAAATACACTTTATTTAATGATAAATGGAATGGGGATGCGTAATGTAGCCATATATTAAGTATTGATACCATTTTTTTCTTTTTTCCCCCAAAATCGATATCGATACTTGGCAAATGCAAATCGATAATCAAATCGCGGGAGAAAGTATCGCGTCACACCCAGTGGGGGAGGGTCCCGGCTCAAAAGTGGCCAAAATGACGTGCGCTGACATGCTTGCAATACCACCCCGGGCCGATGGGGGTGGACCCAGAAGTAGAATTATTCAATGCTAACATATAGCATTGGCAGACCTCTCAAAAACGTCTTTACAGGATGGACCAAAGGTTGGCTCTTGGCCCAAAGCTCCGTTCCACATGTGTGTCAATGCTGAGGGGGGTGAATTTTTTTGGTCCACTCTAGTTTACTTGCTGTGAATTTTTGAAATCTCTCGTTCAAATGAATGGAGCTGCGCCGGCTGACACATGCGCAGATGCGTTTTTTGTACAATTTTCTTGTGGGCGGAACCACTCGCGGCCATTTTGGATTGCTCCAGTAGAGTACATTTTTTGGCCCATTAGTTAGAACGGCGGAGATAGGCGTGACTGTCCATTAATCTATACCAGGGGTGTCAAACTCATTTTGGTCCGGGGGCCACATACAACCTAATCTGATCTCAAGTGGGCCGGACCAGGAGATGCTCTACAAAAATATCCAAAAACGGTACAAAGTCCAACTTTTTGTGCACATAAACACATTTATTTAAAACTTCCTTTAAAACACTATCCTTTAATACTCAGTTTTCTGTTACAAACTTAAATGTAACAGTGAGTTTTCCATAGTGCAAATAATGTAGCGTATTTACAATATTACATTGAAAATGGTATTTCACAATATGTATATTAATATTTGTGTGTTAGCTTTGTTTTAAGGCTCATTACAGAGAAAACCTGCTCACAAAGGTAAAGTAGGTAGATAGAAAAAAGCACTTAAACACAGCACCTCAGCTTAACCATCTTCAGTGTGGTAAGGTCCATGGTTATGTTATTATCACATTAACCATCTTCAGTGTGGTAAGGTCCATGGTTATGTTATTATCACATTAACCATCTTCAGTGTGGTAAGGTCCATGGTTATGTTATTATCACATTAACCATCTTCAGTGTGTAAGGTCCATGGTTATGTTATTATCACATTAACCATCTTCAGTGTGTAAGGTCCATGGTTATGTTATTATCACATTAACCATCTTCAGTGTGGTAAGGTCCATGGTTATGTTATTATCACATTAACCATCTTCAGTGTGTAAGGTCCATGGTTATGTTATTATCACATTAACCATCTTCAGTGTGGTACGGTCCATGGTTATGTTATTATCACATTAACCATCTTCAGTGTGGTACGGTCCATGGTTATGTTATTATCACATTAACCATCTTCAGTGTGGTACGGTCCATGGTTATGTTATTATCACATTAACCATCTTCAGTGCGGTAAGGTCCATGGTTATGTTATTATCACATTAACCATCTTCAGTGTGGTAAGGTCCATGGTTATGTTATTATCACATTAACCATCTTCAGTGTGGTAAGGTCCATGGTTATGTTATTATCACAGAGAAAGCATCAAACTGACCATGATTCAGTTGAAATGAATAAAACAACTTCCATAACCAAAGCAAAGGAAGGTTTCTCACCCATCATCTGTACTTCTTAGCAAGTTTTACTTCCATAACGTGATTCATTCTTAACGACTGCAGCAGTGTCTCTGTGTAAAATACAGTCAAATGTCCAAAAATCATCACCTCCATTTGCAGCTTTGTCACTACACCTGTTTTTACCATCGGTACCAGTCCACACTGTCCAACACACCAGCAACAACAGCAGAACCAGCAGCAGCACCAGCAGCAGCGCTCAAAACTCCTCTGATAGTTTCAGTAACACCACAAATGAATATGTGACATCAGTAACATCAGTCTCTTATCAATGGCAACATGTTGGTAAAAGCGAGTGGTTTCTCAGACCATGTCTGCAGCCTGTGAGAGATTTAACAAACTCTCTCTCACTGTGCGGCTGCGATGCTAATGCTAATGTTGTTAGCACAGGTAGCTTCCCTTTACAGCAGCAGAACTAACCTCTCGCTCTGGGCACAAACAGACTGCTGCCTTCAGGGCCAGACAGGTTTATCTTCTGTTTTCTCAATTCTTCGCTCAAAGTGCCGTATTTTTCGCCGAGTCTTGTAGTTTAAGATGTTATTCCTTCAGCACCGCTCTGGTGGAGCCACTACAGACGCACTGGACTCACCCCTGAGCGCGGCGCTGCGGCGTCGCGGCGCCTCGCGGCGCGGAGCGGCTTTTTAAAATGTAACTTTATTATATTTTTACATAAATGAGCCACGGGCCGTGTCAAATCTCTTGGCGGGCCGGTTCCGGCCCGCGGGCCGTATGAATGACACCCCTGATCTATACAGTCTATGGTCACACCCCTAATTATTATTATTATTATTTTTATTATCATTGTTATCATTGACATAGAACTCACTATTACTTCTGCATACGTTTCTTCAAATGTGCTAATTATAGGCATCTATACCAGTTAGAAGAAATAAGTAACCTGTCACATGCATTTTAATATCAATCATAATTAAAATCATCAATGACCCAGTAAATGGAAGTAGCCATTATCGAGAGCTCAGCGTCTGACCCAACGCGTCCAAGCGAGAGGGTGAAGCAGCAGAGTGAAAATCAACAGCCCAAACCTGCGCTGGCCGCTGCACACTGCATCAGGAGCTGGCACAGTTAGCACGTCTATGATGAATGGCACACTGCTGAAGATGGAGAATGCTGTGATGTTGACTAACAAAGACAGATGCTGGGCGGTCGGGCAGAGGCAATGAGAGATGGCTCTTTGGTTGCTTTGACAACAGGTCATCAGTGGGAAGAGCACACAGGAATGGCTTATGTCAAAGAAACACAAGGGTGAGATGGGTGAGAGGATGAGCATGGAACAGGAAGTACTATGCACACATTCTAAGCACCAAATGAATTAGCTTAATTAACCCTAACCCTTCAAACATTACAGCAGGAGAGTTATAAAACATTGTCCATTGAGCCACGGCACAAATAGCTACAATTCCACTGGAGGTTATCTGAGGGAACACGTTATCCTCTCTGTTTTGTTCCCACAAATTTGACTTTATTTGAATGGGATCGAGAAATGGAAAGTGACAGTTGGGGATTGTAACTTAATTTTGACAAAAGTCTCTTTGCTTCGAAGCGGAGTTGGAGAGGAACAACAGTCACATATGTGTATTCCAATTTGAAAAGACAAAAATCGAGGTCCTCAGGGTAAATGAATCATGAGGACAACCAGGCAGGCTGCCCAAGGTACACATCAATATAAAATAATATGTTAAAAACGGATTTGCTTCTGTAATCCAATTCCACGACAGTAACATATTATTGACACAAAGAGTATTATCTTACTGTAGGACTGCATCATATGCTTGTTTTTATATTAAAATGCATATTTTTCTGTATTCAAATGCAGTGTACATCAAAATTGTCTTAGAGGCCTCAGAATACATACAAATAAGGTTAGACATCGTTGTGTAATTTGAGTTGCCTGTGTTTGAACAGTACTATACAAATAAGCTTGCCTTGCCTTACAATGAGGCAAATCCGAGGTGCAGTTACTATTTGCTCACTTAAGGCCATGTACTTTACAGCGGGCAATGGGAGTTCAATTGATACAGCTTTAAAATAACACATACATTGTGTTAAATATGTGTATCAGTCTGTGTGCAGAGGCTAAAACCTACACCATGTTAAGAAGCACAGTAGAAGAACTATAACACTACTTAGTTCCGTCGCTAAACTACCTGGAGAGAAATATCTAATGAGTTTGGTATATCACGTTAATACATCTTCTGAATTACATTGTACTTGACACATAGCAGACGTGCACACTCACCATGCGCAGATAGTTCATCAGACTGGTCCCGTGTTGCCAGATCTGAGGCGATGTGCAGCTCAGTGGCTTCACTCCAATCTCCTGACTGCGATTCAATTCCCGGACGGCGCCCACAACCACATGCACGGCGTCAAACATCAACGCTGACGAGAGCTGCAGAGAGGTGAACAACATGAGAGAAAGAAGAAGTGCTGATTGAGCGGTCAGCTGGGATGAAAGTAAAATACTGGGAGAGAGAATAGATGTAAGCTATGAGCAAAACCAATGGGGACCTACACAGATGGATTCATCAATACCCATTAAATACAAGCAAAGAACCAGAGCTGAATGTCTCTAACAGCCAAATGAATCAGTGAGGGGAAGAAAACTGGTTTGATGTTGCTTGGCAAACCAACAAAGCATTGAAAATAACTTCTAAATGTGTGGGTGTTTACAATGTGTGTGTAGGGAACTCACTGCAGGACCAGGGTACGTCAAGTCACAGCCTTCTCTCCAGGATAAGTTCAAGCTCCGGATGAACTCCAGGTAGAACGGGTGAGTGGTGTTGAACATGGAGAAGCCCAAGATGTTTGACTGGTCGTTGACGATGTCATCAAGTCTCAGAAGAGGGAAGTCCTAGAAGAGGAGTGGGGAAGGATACAAGTGTCATGTGTTATACTTTGGTCGTACTGTGTCTTTTTTAGTTTCTTCTCTTGCTCTTGTGTGGACTGCCTTTGGAATTGTGTATTGATAATCATCCTGGATTTGGGTTTATTTTATGAAATTACACTTTTATTTTCAATCCTTAATTTTGGTTCCTTCTTGCATTTTAATAAGACAGAAAAAAACAACGTAATTTTCTGAGATGTTAAATTTGAGGTTTGCAAGCTGTGAGTCAATTACCAGTATTATAACAAATAAAGGCTTGATACATCTAACTTTGCGTGTATCTCACTTCACATACATAGTAAAGTGTTTTATTTTGACAATTTGTAATCAGTCCGACAAGGTTCATTTGGTCCTCTTCGATCCAAAAGTCAGGAAGAAACTGTACATTTTGGACACCCACTGTCAGTCAAAGGGTTAAATAAAACACAATAAAATGATTTGTGCATCTAACATGACTCGCTTCATGCATTAGAAACCTTCTCACTACTTTTTACTTGTTTGTTCAAATCAAATGGCTCGAACCACCTCTTTCAAGCAAAACTCACTCTGATGAATTCATTGTCACATTCTCTTACACGAAGATTCATCTCACTTTGAATCTAGCTCCCCTTTGATAACATTCAACTTGTCTGATAATAATCGCTCTTAATTCTTCAAATGAAGCCCTTGATAATGAGCCGTTTAAGGTTCAGCTCATTGTAATTGCAAGGTCAGACCTCCTGGTGAAGTGTGACAGATGCTTGACCTGCTTTTCATGTTAAAATCTTCTGATAATCTCTGTGATCCTAAGATAATTACAAATCTGTTTGATATGCAGAAAGGTTACACACTATTTTAGGTAAAGTTAATGAGAGAAATATTGTATAGACTGCCGACACTGTATACGGGGAAAATCAAAGAATTAGAATAACATTTAAAAGTTCTTTGACTTCTGTAACTTATTACATGCTAAATTAAATAGTTTCATAATGTTGATAATTGGCTCAGAACTTGACAAAACTCAAATAAAACATCTCAGAAAAAACATGTCTATATTAGGAAAATGGAATGCAAGGCCATAATCCTGTAGAAATCACCAATTTGTAAAGAATATTCGTAAGCAGTCATTGTTAGAAAGTGTTCCAATCTCGAAAAACACAACATTTGGTTTCTGGCAGAGATGTAAAATCCAGGTGAGTGACAGTGTTGACAGAGAATCAAATTTTTACTTGTGGAAAAAAAACAAATGTGTGGGAAGGTAGATTGTGACGAAGAAAAAAGAGCAACAGAGGAGAGCGAGTGACACATCTAATCTCCGACAACGAGGGGAAGAAACGGTATGGACAGCTCCTAAAAGGGGGGAAAGCACTGATACGGGTGGAGGATAGGTTGATGGAAATGACTCCAGTGGCTTTTTTTTTTTCAAAGATGAAGAGCATACTGAGGGCGGAGAGGGGAAGAAAATAAAAATCAAGGAGTGCTGCATAAAGTGACACATTAATTCAAATGGAAGGAAGCAAGGGGAGTATATCAAAGCGTGAGATGAAAAACCTAACAGGAGACGGCGGCTGGTGGCGGAGAGAGAGAGAGAGAGAGAGAGAGAGAGAGCGAGAGAGAGAGAAAAAAAAGGCCACAGCGCACATCTGTCATCACCTTTACCTGCAACCTCGCCTGTACATATCTCACCAAACCACAGCTGCTTCCCTTCCTCTCTCTTATCACCGCATCCGGGGCCGTGCGCAACCTTTTGCTCGCCCATAAAGGGACGGACTACAGGGCGGTGGTGGTGGGCGGATGTGCGTATAGTCTTACCATGGTGGTTAGGATGTACTTGTAAAATGCTGATGTCATCCCGAGCTCCGATGCCTGCAGCAAAGAAAGAGGAAAAAAAAGAGAGAGAGGGGGGGGGAGAGGAGGGGAGGTGGAGAGGAGGACAGGGAGAAAAATAATGTTGGCAATAAAAGCGTAAAATAAGGGACAGACAGGTGAACATAATGTGAGATGGAAAGATTGATGCACAGGGCATTCAGAGGGTACACAGGAGCGGGGTCGAAAAGAGGGAATAGAATACGTTAATCACATTTTTTTTTATCGCTCTTTTGGCTAAAGGGCGAACGTCCCATACGCACAAAGGCAGCCTGACTCACCAGTTATGGGCAAAGTGAGTCTCTATTCTGCCTCTGTAACATCTGTGCTGCAGCCCACCTCAAACATGTCCTTTTGTCGAGTCATTCGGTAATGAGTGTGAATGTGTCCCTGGGAGATTATGCAGTAAATGCTTTTTTTCACAATGCAGATCCACAAGGCGCTGAATCCTGAAATAAGATGTGAAGGCAATTCTAGTTTGGAGTAAGGGGGAATTTTCATTTAAAAGCTAATTTTGGGTAAACATTGTAAATTACACAAGCGCCGTGGCACAAATTAAAACTAACTTTTCGTTTTAAAAATAGTGCTAAGCCATGTTGCCTCTGCAGTGAGATATAGGATTTTTTTTGTTATTTATAAAGCGCATTTTTACAGACCAAGGTCACCCAAAGCCATAGACTGTAAATATTAACGGACAGAGTCATGCCTATCTCCGCCGTTCAAACAAATGGGCCAAAACATTGTGAAAAAACGCATTTGCGCATGTGTCAGCTGGCGCAAGCTCCATTAATTTAAACAAGAGACTTCAAAAATTCATAGCGAGTAAACTGCAGTGGTCCAAAAAAGTTCACTCCCCTCAGCATTGACACACATGTGGAACGGAGCTTTGGGCCAAGAGCCAACTGTTGGACCATCCTGTAAAGACATTTTCGAGAGGTCTGCCAATCCTATATGTTAGCATTGGCTAATTCTTAATTCGGGTCCACCCCCATCGGCCCGGGGTGGTATTGCAGCATGTCAGCGCACGTCATTTTGGCCACTTTTGAACCGGGACCCGCCCCCACTGCCCAAAGCATTTTACAATGTTCAGAGTTCAGATATTGTTTCATTAATCTCCACACGGTGATGATGGAAGCCAGACGCCGAACACACTCACTCATTAGATTCATTCCTATTGTGCATGTTTTTAGTGGAATCTGGAGCACCCAGAAAAAACCTACACAGACACAGGAAGAACAAGCAAACTCCACTCAGAAAGGTGTTCCCGACCAGGATTCCAGCCCAGGACCTTCTTGCTGAGAAGCGAGAGTGCTAACCACTCAGCCACTTTTGTTTAAATTTGATTTCAGAATTGATGAAAGTCTTGTCTATTTCCTCATCTCAATACCCCCATGAATGAAACGTTTTTGGATTACTTTTTTATTAAAAATAAAGCTAGAAAATATTACATGTAGATAAGGATTCAATCTCTTTTTTTAAAACTCTCTGTTGAGTTTCATGACTTCTCAGGCTCATGCTGAGCTTGGCACACCGACATTTGGGGATTTTTACAACTCTTCTCTGCAGATCCTCACAAGTTCAGGTTAGATGTGCAAGATGCTGCAAAGGTTTTTTTCAGGTCTTTCCAGAGATGTTCAATTGGAGCCAAGTCTGGGCTCTGGCTGGGCCCCTCAAGGACATTCTCAGACTTGTCCACAAAGCCACTCTTTTGTTTTCTTGGCTGTATGCTTTAGGTTGTTGTCCTGTTGGAACGTGAATGCCCAGTCCGAAGTACAGAGCGCTCTGGTGCAGGATCTCTCTGTACTCATCTCCCTGTCCTTTTAGCTGGAAAACATCCCCACAGCATGATGCTACCACCTCCATGCTTCACAGTAGGATGGTATTTTCCAGGTGATGAGCAGTGCCTGGTGTCCTCCAAACAATACCCTTGAATGCACTGTACTATATACAGTATAAATAGATGGATGGATAGATGGATAATGTATTTCACACATACAATGTTAACAACACGGTCAATAACATGTAGTGAAATGACTAGTAACCAATACATCTGTCTATAGTTTGGTTAAAGTAGCCAGAACAGTACATAACAACAATAACTATGCAGTTTAAGGAGGAAGGAGCTTTTGCCTATAAGCCTTATTATAATAGTCATCATCAAAATACTGCTGAAAATGTAGGACTAAACATGGGGAGTATTTGTGAAAAAGTGAAATTTGCTTCCTCTCTGACAAAGTTCAAGTTGCACTATAAGCTGAATAATTGTTTTAATATATTGTGATTATTTATGTTTTTATCTGTGTTTGATGTTTCTTGTGAGGCTAGAAACTTGCCATGCCTTACAGAATATATGAATTCATTATTAATTCAAAAGTACTTGACATCTTCTGGTTCTTCAACAGCTGTTTTCTTTTTGAACATAGCGTTTACAAATGTATGTATATTGAAGCTTCGTACTTCTGCTCCAAACACAGCAGATCAATCCTTAGCTCTATAAGCCTCGGCTCATTCCTAATGCGCAGAAAAGTGACGTTTCCTCGACACCGGTAAATGCATACCTTCTTGAGGATGAGGTAGGACACAGAGGCGTTGGCGTCGATGATGATGGTGGCCACCTTGTCGTCACGGATCTCCTTGAGCAGCGGCGTGGGGTCCATGTTTTCATCCAGCATCCGGACCGACAGCGTCTCTCGGGAAATGAGGAAACGGCGAACCAGCTCCTCCAGCCTGAGCAGGCCTGTAACCCACACAGACCGCCCCAATCGGTTACACTATAACTACTACAGCCTTGATGCAGCCTGAGAGAAGATATCATGTAAATCAGTGTTCCCTGACCTTTTTGAATCGTGGCACACCTTTGTCCTTTTGAACAATCATATGGTACACCCCTAGATCAAACTGATACTAAATGTATACTCTACAGCCTTTATGAACAAAGCAAAGTCATTCTCATCCATGTGTGTTATGTAGAAAATCAAACAAGCACAAAAAAGTCTTTCTAATCATCTCAAATAGTTTTCTTTTCACAGGTTTTTGACTAAGCCGTTGAACTTGGACCATTTCGAGGGCACACTAATAAACATCTCAAGGCACACCAACATGCCACGGCACACTGGTTGAAAAACACTGATGCAAATACTTAAAGGGATAGGCACAAATTAATACTCAGATTTTTAAACACTGCATTTCTTATTGCAACCATTAAAAAATGTTCAATCAATAAGGAGATTCCAAATAAACATATAACAACTATGTATAACAGTCAAAAGAGGAGTAAGTCTTCTTTCAGTTTTTCATTTGTTCTCAAAGTTTGTACCACAGCAGACTGAAGGTGATGTCATTATGTTTGTCTTTTACTAAACAAATGTATAAATCTCCATAAGGGAATCTGTTCCTCTTGTGCCATTTCTTGACCTAAGCTGACTAGAAGGCTCCTGATTGGTCAACTGTTTTTTGGTCAAAAATTCTCGTTGTACCCATTGGGATTTTTATTGGATTTTTTTATGTTTATGTAGATTTTTATGCTTAATGTTTTATGCTTGATGTTATATGGGTTGTGAGGCGCTTTGTGTTGTCTTTTGTAAAAGTTGCTCTACAAATAAAAGTTGATTGATTGGCAGAAGGGTGCCCAAACGTCTTTACTTTCTAAATGTCAGGCCAGTTTCTCCTATTCATGTATTTTGCGTGAAAAAACACCCTCTTTATTTATGTTTTCCTAATTGAAGCAGAATCCAAAGTGGCCCTCCAGGAGGCTTAATTTTGAGCTCCCCAGGTTTAAGCGTAATAACATGAACATCTGAAATTCACACAAGCAGTCACAGAATAAGACCGGTTTCCTTTTCAATGAAGTGAATTAAAGCCCTTTCAACAGCACCCACATACCTCCTTCATCCCTCAATGCTTCTACCCATGTTTCTCTGTGTGTCTCTGTGTCTGTCAGTGTGTCTCTGTGTGTCTCTGTGTCTGTCAGTGTCTGTCAGTGTGTCTCTGTGTGTCTCTGTGTCTGTCAGTGTGTCTCTGTGTGTATCTGTGTCTGTCAGTGTGTCTCTGTGTCTGTCAGTGTGTCTCTGTGTGTCTGTCAGTGCCTCTCTGTGCGTCTCTGCGTTTCTCTGTGTTTCTCTGTGTCTATGTGTGTCTGTGTCTCTCTCTCTGTGTCTCTCTGTGTGTCTGTGTGTGTGTCTCTGTGTGTGTGTCTCTGTGTGTCTCTGTGCGTCTATTTGTGTCTATTTGTGACTCTCTCCGTGGCTCTGTGTCTCTCTGTGTGTCTCTCTGTGTGTGTCTCTCTGTGTGTGTCTGTGCGTCTATTTGTGTCTCTTTCCGTGTCTCTGTGTGTCTCTCTGTGTCTCTCTCTGTGTCTCTCTCTCTGTCTCTCTGTGTGTCTCTCTGTGTGTCTCTCGGTGTGTCTCTCGGTGTGTCTCTGTGTCTCTCTCTGTGTCTCTCTCTGTGTGTCTCTCTGTGTGTCTCTCTGTGTGTCTCTCTGTGTGTCTCTCTCTCTGTCTCTCTGTCTCTCTCTCTGTCTCTCTGTCTCTCTCTCTGTCTCTCTGTGTGTCTCTCTGTGTGTCTCTCTCGGCGTGTCTTTCTCGGCGTGTCTCTCTCGGCGTGTCTCTCTCAGCTTGTCTTTCTCGGTGTGTCTCTCTCGGTGTGTCTCTCTGTGTGTCTCTCTGTGTGTCTCTCTGTGTGTCTCTCGGTGTGTCTCTCTGTGTGTCTCTCTCTCTGTGTGTCTCTCGGTGTGTCTCTCGGTGTGTCTTTCTCGGTGTGTCTCTCTCGGTGTGTCTCTCTCTGTGTCTCTCTCTGTGTGTCTCTCTGTGTGTCTCTCTCTGTGTGTCTCTCTCTGTCTCTCTCTGAGTCTATCTGTGTGTGTCTGTGTGTGTCTCTGTGTTTCTCTGTGTCTCTCTGTGTATCCCTGTGTGTCTCTCTGTGTGTCTCTCTCTGTCTCTCTCTGAGTTTGTCTGTGTGTGTCTGTGTGTGTCTGTGTCTCTCTGTGTCTCTCTGTGTCGCATGATCAACAGTTTTCCAAAACAAGTATTTCATTGAGATTCAAAACTGCACGTTGACTCTGCGCTTTCTGTCACTATGTATTTTTTATTCATCATGACCTCTGCCAAGGAGCCATTTTTAGCCCTTTATGTTTGTTTGTTTCCATGTTTGTAAGGTGGATGACAAACGTTCTTGACATATTGTAATTCAGAACCATCTGGAAAGCAGCCATACTTCTGGATTAGGAGCAAAATTTATATTTGCGCTGCTGGATTCTGTGACGCCATTTGGTCCATTACTCTTCAGAGATGGTTTTCCAGAGAAGCTGACAAAAATTTTCACACACATATTTTCTTTCATTTAGTGTTTCTCAACAATTGAAAGCACAGTGTTGGTCACTTTGAAGTAGATAAAATATAGAAATGTATGTTTTGATGTCCCCAAAATACAAAGCAGGTCGTCTTCACTCTGCCACTGGTTTGGATCTTGGGGTTGGGTGACCGACTTTACCTAATGTGAATAAATGAACAAGCCCACTTCATACCACTCACTTAAGCCTTTGTCCTGTTGGTTGCTGTCACGTATGTACAGGGAAGTAGGTGTCTTTGTACTGACAAGACAGCAAGGGAAGGACACAGACCAAAATGTAGTGACCAGCCTCTTGAATTTTGAACAAAGAGGCGGCTGTATCCGAATTGAACCATAAACCTCCTTGGCGTCATTATGCTTCAACAGTAGAGGGTCAGCTTCTCAGGCTACGGCACAGTGGAGGAACTGAATCAGTATAATGCATGAAAATAGTAAAGACATTTTGCTTTGTTCTTTTCCTGAATCATAATCTAATTCACACTTGGTTTTTTTTTTGTCCATGTCAAATTGTGTATGACTATTCGTCGTCAATATACTGTATAATGCAGAACGATTCAATTTAATGTGTAGAAAATATATAGAATTTATTGACCACAATATGAGTGAGACCTTTTTTGTCTCATTCATATTTGGCAGAGTCTTTCTTATTGATGTATCAAGTGCTGGATCATAAATCTCATGATATCATAAAACCTCTTGTCTAGACTGATAACCTTTACAAAAATTAATTCATATTAGTTTGGATGAAGCCAAGAGGAGAAAAATTCAAAAACCATTTTGAATGACATAATAAATGTCGATTCCTGAGCCTTGGCAGACTCTCTTCCATTATGATGCACTTTCTGTCTGATGGCCAGACTCTTTTAGTCTGAATTATGTACACGTCTCCTCACAATGTGAAGTAAATCTGAAGAACCCACCCCCAAAAACAAATAACTGTCAATGACTGTATTTCCCACTAATCCGGTGATGAGATGGAGGGATGTGCACAGACACAGACGCACAAACAACAGTGTGCGTCTGTGTCACAAGAGTTGGCCACTTTAAGTGATTTCCTCTTGAAATGGATTATATCCAGTGGCAGTCAAGGCTCACTTGACATCATGTACAAAATATGTCTTCACTAAAAGTCACTCCCGCCGCTCCCTAATTGTAATTCCCTAGTAAAGCACCCCAAGCTATGTAAATAAGTGGAAGTGGGTTGGCGTCTAGTGTGAAGGGAGAAGGAGGTAGAAGGAGAGAGGTAGTGCACCGAAGCCCTTCAGCAGGAGAAAGCCTCTGTAAGCAGTGGGGTAATCACTGAACCAGGCCAAAACTTTAATTAGTTTGAGGAAGGGGGGAGAAAAAAATCAATGGAGTTTCACAGCTTCCTTTCCTCCCCTCACTCACTCGACTTTAAGCCCCTAACCTCTCTATCTGCTACCTCTGTGTCTGCTTCTCTCTCTCTCTGGTGTCTCTTCCTCATCCATCCTGCAAAGAATAAAACAGCATAATGGAATTACCCTCACCAAAAGACACCCTCGGAAATGACCCACATCCAAATATGCAAAAGCTGGAAAATTGTAAATTCATTTGACAAATGCCACTGACCAAAATGTTAAGGCTCAAAATAAATACGGGTGTTTTCTTACTTCTTTTTTAATGAGGATGAATTTGCCATAGCTGACTTTTTAACACAAGCAAGATTCTGGCAGAAAACAAAAAGCAGACTCCATTTGGACTCCGTGAGCTGATGTAAACAAGATAAATATAAAAGAGGAACGGTGCTAAACAACCACTGCAGTGCTATAAACGACTCCACAAGAAAATCAATGCTGTGCCTATAGTGACATACAGTATTCACTTACTACTCTAAATAAACCATTGGTCAGAGTGCAAAGACAAAGCCAGGTTTGTATTTATCCTATTGAGGTTTTTAGTTGAATTGTAGTTGATTGAAGGTAGCGGTAGTTGAAACAGTTGTTAAAAAAAAACCTGCAGATATTCAAAAATCTGCAGCTCGAGTCCTGACGAGAACCAGGAAGTACCGTCACAATATTTATGATTTTAATGCCTTGTGTGTATTTATCTTGTTTTGTGAGGCAGTTTCAGTTCCCTTGTGTATGAACTGTACTATGCAAATAAACTTGCCTTGCCGTACCTTGCCGTCCTAAATTCAAAACAGCATGAGTCTACTTGCCCATGCAACATTCCCGTTTTGAACAGGATCAAATATTTGTATGGTTAAAACTCTTCTAATTCACAATCATAATACTAATTGTAGCCCTTGTTAAACAATGTGCAATGTTAAAAGCAAGAATAAGATTGACATTTATGAATTGATAAAATCTACCAACTGTGCACGGCATTTTATTGTCCCACTCCATTTGATTTCCATCATAAGATTTGAAT